GGCACTGATCCATGCAAATACATTCAGCTGCTGGCCTCTGCATATATTTCTCTTTATTATGTAGCTTTTCACAGAGTTTTGGCCTTGTACAGTGGCTGCACCTTACTGGGTCTTATTTTGCATTCCATTTTTCCTCCAGTCCTATCCATCTTGTAATTTTTACAGATGGCATTGAACAGGTTGATTCATCTTGCAGTTTATCAACCCAGTGCTTACCTAACAGCAGGGCTTGATTATAATTCCCCATTTCTCCTAAATGATCCTGCTTACTCAGGTATTGCCCCAGATTTGCAGGACATGCAGCCAGGTGTCCCTGCCTAAACAGCTCCTCTCAGCTCAGTGCAGCCAGGGCTGGGGTTTGGGGCATGGCAGCCACAGCCGGTTAAATTTCTGGTTGGCCTGAAATAAGAGGGAAAATGATGGATGTCCTGCTGTCTGCAGGTGAACAGAGTGCTGTGGATAGATCAGTAAATTACAAAAACTGCCACTTTTTTGGCAACTGGATTAAAGAAACCCAAGCAATAAAAGATGAGGTTGGAGCAGGGCCAGTGTGAACTTTATGAAAAGGTGCAGAGCTGCCTTTCTGTGACATCCCAGCTGCACTTCCTAAGGTTTCCTTCTCATGGAAACTGAACAGTCCTCTCTCATTACAAGGGCTGGAAAAGACAAAATTAGGCCAGAAAAGTTGCCCTGATTGTTTTTCTTTCTGGCCTGAAGGATGAACAGTACAGATGATAAACCAAGAAGCAACAAATGTTTCAGTGCCCACTTGGAAAGTCAAGGCATTCATATACCCTGAGAGAGTAAATAGGAACTGCAGTAGTTGTGATTCATGCTTCCACACCATAATCCAGGCTTCATGCTCCCTCTTGTTTTCCCAGCTTTGTATTTAAGTGCTCACCTCCCCTGTCCCTAAACCAATAAAAAAACCTTACAGCTTTTGTTGCCATCCCACATTCAACCAAGAGTCTCTGGAAACTGAACATCCTGGAAACATGGTGCAATGTCTGAACAACTGGAAATCTAAAATTCTTTGTACCTTGGGAAGATCTCTCATTACAATTCAAACCATTGGAAAACAAAGAACAATGTGGAATGGGTAATTATTTAAAATTCCATAATTACCAAGGGGCCTTTTTCCCCCAGATGTTTCAGTCCAGTCTGACTGCATTTCCTGCACACCATCGAAGAACCTGACTCTGGCCACCACGGGTGGTCTGAGAAACTTGTAAAGAAGGCAGGATTGTGTCACAGTGAAAAGTACTTTGTTTTACAGGCTCACCCCGAGCAACCTCTTTGCAGAACAAGTTGGAAATATCTAATTCTCATGCAACCCCAAGTCCATATAAGCTAATGCCAACAGGAGGCAGAAAGAACTTTCACCGACCTACCTCAGGCTATGATAAATATGGGAAAATAGATAGTCACATTAAAATTACCATATGTCCATGTGAGGCACAATCATGAATGGGCAGAAAACATTGTCTGAACTGATCCTTTTTCCCAGCTGGGCAACAGAACAAAGATCTTCAGCCAAAACTGGCCACACACAACCAGAGAAACTCTTCCTCTACCTTACACAAGAATTTAGAGGGTTAAGTCAAATGTCACTGCAGAAGTCCTCTCTTGACTCCACAGCCTTTTAGGTATTTTATAGTTAAATTGCAATTCTCTTTCATGGCTCTGTGCCCATGAGTTTCACGAACTATATCCACAACAGCTTAAATCAAATCCTCTGCAGGCAGGCACAGCCCAGCACCTTTGATCAAACACAGCAGAAGGGCTCAGGGCTTGGACCTTGGCAACAAGACCATTCCCCTTCAAGCTACTGGTCATGCAGGAGAATTTAAATATTGGTGTCTGTAGGTCTTTCAGGCCAGTTTAAAAAATTAAACTTTGCAGTGTTTAACTGTAGGAATAGGCACATGCATCATTGCAATAATAATGCACTTGTTTAGACAGGAAATCACAGAATGAGGGAAAAGGCTCACAAATACCTTATTGCCTCTGTTACCTTCCTGCAAGAAACCTGAAGTTTTCCCCAATATCTTTTACTCTGTTATACCAGGAAACAAGAAGGGTTGCAGCAGAAACTTTCTGTTCACGAAGCAAACAGAAAGCAAACCGGGCACTGAAGCTCAGCTGCGCCCATGCATTTTCCGGGGGGAGATTTTCACTCCTTGACCCAGCCCGAGCTGGCACAGTTCAGCAGGTGTGATATCTAAGTAGTGTTAGCTCATTTAACACACGTTTCCAGGGATAACAGAAATCACCTCCGTGGCCTGGTGCTCTCCAGCCAGTGCATTCCTGCCCCAGCCTGGCCTGGCAGCACCAGGCACAGCCCTGCTGGCAGGCACTGCCTCATTGCTCACATTTTCTTGTGGTCTGGAGTTTCTGTAGCTGGCACGAGCAGGACAGAATGAACCCTGGAAAATACTTACACATATTATACCAAAGGAATGTAGGGCAAGCATTAAATGATAAACCAGAGTGACTTTAAATGAAATAACACAGCAGGTTGTGATGGCTGTTTGATATGGGCATTTAGGATCTGACTTTCAAGGTATGGCAGAGGAACAGATGTGAGAAGGGGGGAAGAGATTCCTGGCTTGCCTGGAGACTTGTAACGATGTCCCAGGTGGGGACTGCATTCCTCCTCCGTCCAGCTCTCCAAACTGCTTCTCCCTGACATGGAGCCTGGAAAATCTGGGCACCTCAGCACAGAGCTGGCAAGGAACCATTGTCCCAGTCCTGTCTGACATCTGAAAGTGATCACTGGACTGCCCACGCTGCAGGAATGCTTTCCCACAGGAATAAGGAGTTTTATGAGTGTTATAAAAAGTTACTGGCACTACAACGTATTATCACTGTGGTATAAATTACTGATGTGCTGTCAGCTAGGGGCCAGCCAGGACAGCAGCCAGAACCCTCTCCCTGCTCTGACAGAGCTCTGTGGGTTCCCTTGGCAGCCTTCAGCCTCGCCCAGCGGGGTCCTCCCCAGCAGGGACAGACTCGGACCCAAAGGGGAGAGCATGAAACCGCAGCATCACATCCCGATCACAGCACAGCTGCAGCAGCAGACAGGGTTTTGATCACAGTTGTCCTTCTGCCAATAAGATTTGCAGTGTAACACCAATTTTCATCAATACAGAACAGAGCTGCAGTTCTGCCATACTCTCAAATTAAATAGAGTATACTAGAATACACTTATCTATATTTAGTTCCCAAAATATAAGCTACTTAGACTCTCATCAGACCATATGTTTAAGTTGCACAATTTTTCTTCCAAGTGCTCTGAAATTTACCTTTATTTTTAGCTTATGTTTTCTTGGAGTTGGCAAACGTTCTGTCATGGGAGATATTGTGTACAAAATATGAAATATTGCTCTCTGCCCTGTCCTTCAGAGTACTAAGCTGAACGTGGCTGAGCCACCTCCCAGGCCAGCTGAGCCAGCCCAGCAGCAGCAGCACAGAGAGGGGCACCGGCACAGGGAGGGGACACTGGCACAGGGATGTGGCACTGCACAGGGAGGTGACACTGGCACAGGGATGTGGCACTGCACAGGGAGGTGGCACTGCACAGGGAGGTGACACTGGCACAGGGAGGTGACACTGGCACAGGGATGATCCCTCCCTGCCCCACCCAGCCCTGCCCAGGGCCGAGGGCAGCGTTCCCTGCTGGCAGTGCAGACTCAGCCCAGGAGCTGGGTGACTGCAGGGACACTCACACAGGGTGCTGCAGCCTGCCACAAAGTGCAACTGGGTGACACATCTTCATCTCCTGCTCAGAGATCCGGGGCTCTGAGACAATGTCCTGCACACACAGTCACTGTCCTGCACACACAGTCACTGTCCTGCAGAGACAATCATCCCAGACCTCTGAGACAATGTCCTGCACACACAATCACCCCAGGGCTCTGAGACAATGCCCTGCACAGAGCAGTGCCAGGCAAATGAAAGAGGCTGCAGCTCAGGCTGAACCCATTCATTTTGTGTGCAAGGCTTGTCATCATTTCTCATTACTTTGGAAGCACCAGCCTTGTCAGAGATCCATCAGTGCTTCCAGGACACATTTTTATTTTCAGGGCTCTATAGCTCTTGGCTGAAATGTCACATTTGTGGTATCATCAAAACATATAAAACCTAGTTCAGTCATGCAAGAAGGAATATGGGAAAAATAAAGGACTTTTAAAGCATCATTCTTTTTTAACTTTTTTTTTTCTATCTTTCTAAATGCATTCCTTAGGCTTAAAAAACTGCACACTACAGAAAATCCAAAATGGGGCAAGTTTTCCTCAGCAATTAATCCAAGCTTCTGTCATTACAAATATAAATCTCCATATCTCATCTGTGCAGTCTTTACACCAGGCACGAACAGCACCTCTGGTTCCTTACTGTATCCCCAAAACGCTCCCAGCAGGGAGCTCCCCTGGCAGTGCCGGTCTGCAGCCAAGGAGGACACCGGGAGGGCTCAGCTGAGCAAACCCAGAGGAGCCTTACTCCCGGTTCCCTTATCGACCAAGACAAATAGGCAGAATCCAGCCAAAACCTGTTCCCGGCTGCCTTGGCGTGAGGGGGCTCCTGGGCCGGCTGGAGTCTCTCCAGGGCTGCTCGGGTGGCCTGGGCTGCTGGGCAAGCAGGAGATGTCAGTGCCAGGGGTCCCAAAGGAGCACTGCGCTCAGCACAGCCTGAGCCAGGGGTGTGAACGCAGCCAGGGAGCAGCTCTGCTCCAAACACACTGAGCTAACAGGCTGCTGGAACTGGTAACGGGCTACTGGAACTGGTAACGGGCTGCTGGAACTGGTAACGGGCTACTGACACTGGTAACGGGCTACTGACAGTGGTAACGGGCTACTGACAGTGGTAACGGGCTAGTGGAACTGGTAATGGGCTACTGACACTGGTAACGGGCTACTGACAGTGGTAACAGGCTACTCCAACTGGTAACGGGCTACTCCAACTGGTAACGGGCTACTCCAACTGGTAACGGGCTACTCCAACTGGTAACTGGCTACCCAAATGGGTAACTGGCTACCCAAATGGGTAAGTGGCTACCCCACCACCCAGAACTGGCCCTGCACAGCTGCCGAGCTGCCCCCACAGCCACAATGAGTGGAACTCCACATCTGGGTGGAACTCCACATCCACGTTCCACATCTGAGTGGAACTCCACGTCTGAGTGGAACTCCACATCTGAGTGGAACTCCACATCTGAGTGTGGAACCCCACGTCCACGTTCCGTGTAACTCCACGTCCCTCTCACTGGGTGCTCCTCCTCTCCCTGACCCCAAGGCCCAGGAGAACTCCGCTGCCCCTCGCTGCGAGCCCAGGGCAGCAGATCCACCCCCGGCATTTTGGCCCAGCACTCTCCAGCACCCACCCAGCTCCTGGCCAGCACTATGCACCGCTAGGCTACAGCCAAAAGCTGGGGCTGAAAGCAAAACCCCTCAGCGAGTCACAAGAAAATACAAGACACAGAAGCTTAGATCTCAAGCACTGAGATTATGTTGTACAAGGCTTGCACAGCAGCAAGTATCAGGGTGAAACGTTGCAGCAGGAGAGGGTAAGTGAAAAGCGGTTCTCTGAGAAGAAGCACTGGAACAGAGTCCTAGTGTTGATTAATTGCCTTTAAGATTTGATCACTACATGTAACCCAGTAAATCTCCAAGTGTTTCAACATATCTTTAGTGAAGACAGAGTCAGGCAATTATGTATGAAACATCCAAAACATAGTAGATACCTAGGAAAAAAGGTCACAGCTTCCTTTTTGGAGTCTGCCTTCCAGGAACAGTCTTCTGCAACTACTTAAAATTTGCTGCTCTGCTAAATATTCTTGCCAGTACATTTGTTTTCTGCTGGCTAGTTGATAGTTGCAGGAAGCAATCTCAAAATATTTTTTTTTCCTGAACTGGAAGAATATTTATGGGTGTTTTTTTTTTTTTCAGACAATATATACTGAGTTCTAACTTTCCTCAAGAGAAAGCCAGAGAATGAGCTCAAATATGTAAATCTGGGATATACAAAATACTCAACTCAAGAGAAGTAAGAAGCTAATCAACAGTCTGCAGACTGTGAAGAATCAAAATATACAATATAGAAATATACTACATACTGGAGTTAAGCTTTTGTTCCCTTGGGTACAGAATTTACCACAATAAAGCACTAAGTCTCTGCAAATTCTTTATAAATTTTTCATGGGAAATTCTTCTATCATTCCTCAGGTTTTATGTTCACAGGATATATTTGGCTCTGATGTTTGTATGGTTCACTGTGAAATACCACAGTGATTTAAAGTGACAATGATTTAATACCAATGATTTAAAGATTTAAAGTGACATCACGTACTTCAAGGCGGTTAGATAAGTGTAAGGTTCCTTGTTCCCTAAAGTAAGTGATCAGTTTTAATAACACATTTTGAAGGAGCTCGTTCCCTCCATGCTGCCTTCAGAGGATTTTGTGGGATTTATCCTGAGCTATTTGCACAAAACATCCCATTTCATCCCTCAGCTGGCCACTCCAGGCATCCCTGGGCATTTTAGCCCTGAAGAGAAGCTCCAGAAGGAAACAAGGCAGGAGCTGCACTGGTGGCAGGAAAAGCCAGCAGGATGGAAGGGCAGGACTGTCCCTGGCACAGAGAGAGCCCTGAGCTGTGCTGGCTCCTGTCCCTGGCACAGAGAGAGCCCTGAGCTGTGCTGGCTCCTGTCCCTGGCACACAGAACCTGGAGCTGTGCTGGCTCCTGTCCCTGTTACACACAGCCCAGAGCTGTGCTGGCTCCTGTCCCTGGCACACAGAACCTGGAGCTGTGCTGGCTCCTGTCCCTGTTACACAGAGCCCTGAGCTGTGCTGGCTCCTGTCCCTGGCACACAGAGAGCCCTGAGCTGTGCTGGCTCCTGTCCCTGGCACACAGAACCTGGAGCTGTGCTGGCTCCTGTCCCTGTTACACACAGCCCAGAGCTGTGCTGGCTCCTGTCCCTGGCACACAGAACCTGGAGCTGTGCTGGCTCCTGTCCCTGGCACACAGAGAGCCCTGAGCTGTGCTGGCTCCTGTCCCTGGCACACACAGAACCTGGAGCTGTGCTGGCTCCTGTCCCTGGCACAGAGAGAGCCCTGAGCTGTGCTGGCTCCTGTCCCTGGCACACAGAACCCCAGAGCTGCGCTGGCTCCAGCCCCAGGGCAATGCTGGAAGGGCAGGACTGTCCCTGGCACACACAGAACCCCAGAGCTGTGCTGGCTCCAGCCCCAGGCTCCAGGAGCCCCCCTGCACGCCCACCCTGGGCTGGGGGTCCCGTGAGCCCCCTCAGCAAAGCCCTGCCCAGGAGATGCAGAGTGGCCCCGGCCTCACTGAGCCAGGCTCTGGGAGGAAAAGCTGCCAGCACTCGGTCACTTTGCAGGAGCTCAGGCCCAGAGGATCTGAACTCTGATTTTTCGTCTGAACTCTGATTTTTTGTCACCCTGGCAGCTGCTCCCCGCAGCAAAGCGCTGCTCGTCTGAAGCAGGACCCGGGCTGGTGCTGGGTTTTCCTGAGCTGCATTGGATTATTCTCTGGATGGTTTCTTCCTTCACCCACGCCTCCTTTACCCCACTAACACTTTGTCTAACTCTTGGCGGATTTTCAATGTAAATATTCCTGCTCCTCAGAGGAATTTACACCGAGCCCAACGCTCTGCCACAGAGAGACACGTGGAGCTGTCACAGCTCCTCGGTGACACTTTAGGAGGACTCAACACAGGGAACATTTCAGCCTCCTCCCTAAAGGGTGCTCTACCACTCACCAAACAGCTCCACTCTGACAGGTAAACTCCAAAGCCTCGATGTGCCTCTCTGAAATAATGCCCTCACCATGGTGCACTGTCACTGCCCTGCTCACCAGCCTTGCAGCAGCCACATTTTGGAAAGTTTTGGCCATTTGAGAAGTGCAGTGGCTGTGCAATAACCTGGGAATGTCCAAATTGGCACCATTTTCTTCACCCCTGTGAGCTCTGCTGGCTGACTCCACATGAGAGCCTGGTCCCACTAAAGCTTTCAGTTTGAGCAAGAACAAACAAAAGCATTTGACTAGAAAATAGATCATGTCAATACAAAGAGTTTCACCTATCAAAATCAATGGAAATCAGGACTTCAACTTTGAATAAACCAGTAAATGGTTGTATGACTCACAAAACAACCATTACAGAGAAGGTGAAACTGAGAAATCAGAGATTAGAAGAAAAATTCAATACTGTTCTAGCTTTTTAATTACTTGGAGTGCAAATTAATAGCATTACACTGCAAAGCTGACTTTCTTGATAAAGGAAAATCAATCCAGTTCGGAGGGCCTTTAGGTAATACTCCTAAAAAATTACCATATGTCTGCTATATGCAAAAATCAAGAAAACTTACTTTTAGGTTGAGATGGAAAAAAACACAAAGAAACAAACAAAAAAGCTTTCTCCCAAATCTGAAATTCCAAATCTTTTTAAGGGTAGAATTGGCATCCCTAATGACAAATAGGAATCAGTAAGATTTCACCAGTGTAGCTGAATAATTACAAAATCACTCAAGAAAACTAAATTCCCTGGTCTGTCTGGTGCTTTCTCCAAACTTCTTTTGCTGGCTATTCAAGCTGTATTTGATGTCAATTACCATAGCAGACAGAAACAAAGAATGAAGAACACAGCACTGGCTCCTGGAGTTCTTGCTATTGAAATTATTTAAAACATCCTCAGGCAAATAAAAAGCCCACTGTAGAAAACGCTGACAAGGAGCAGAAAAACTCACACAGAGTTTACCTGAACCAATCTAAAGTGCCACAGGGTATTTTTTTCCTTGCAGGTTTGTTAATTAGAAATCTCCTTGAGCAATCAGTTCATGCATTCCCTACCTGAGAGCCACGCTGGGCAAGGGAGAAGTGGCTTCAGCACCCCGTGGGGATGGGAGAGCTGAGCCTGGGGCTGTGTGTGCCAGCTCCATGGGGCTGTGTGTGCCAGCCCGTGGGGCTGTGTGTGCCAGCCTGTGGGGATGGGAGAGCTCTGAGCTGTGTGTGCCAACCCTGTGGGGATGGGAGAGCTCTGAGCTGTGTGTGCCAGCCCTGTGGGGATGGGAGAGCTCTGAGCTGTGTGTGCCAGCCCTGTGGGGATGGGAGAGCTCTGAGCTGTGTGTGCCAACCCTGTGGGGATGTGACAGCTCTGAGCTGTGTGTGCCAACCCATGGGGATGGGAGAGCTCTGAGCTGTGTGTGCCAACCCTGTGGGCTCTTCCTAACTATAAATTTATTCCATTTGGAAACTGCCCACTACTCCTTTATCACCAGAACAGTTGAAGACAACTTTTCAACCCTCATCATGATGAACTAAACTTTCTGAGTTCCACAAAACCAAAGTGAACTCCCTCACGTTCATCATTCATGTCTAAAGTGTCTGACATGCCAACAGGCAGCTTTCAAATAATCCTGCTCCAGTCCCTCTTAACTGAAAGCCAACAGGGGAGCTCCCCATGCAAAAACTTCAATATTCTATGACCTAGAAATACAGACTAATTAATTCATTTCCTGTCACTACCCATATCCTGCTATTTCTCTTACAAAGAAATACTGAGAACACGTTTCATGATGAATGAGTGATAGCACAGGCAAAGTTTAGGGTCTCCAAAGGTTTGAACCTGTTCTGACATGGAAATTAAACCTTCTATGAATTACAGCTTATCACCAAGCAATCCTGGTTCTTGGAGCTGTCAATGTGCTTGACAAAAATCTGTATTTTTTGTTAGTTCAACTTTCTAGGCTGTTAGAATGGAGTCCCATGAGAAGATAAGTTCTGGGATGTTTCTGTTAATAACATTAACAAAAGAAAACTCATGCTGTATTGTTAAGAGGTGCTGCATTTCATCATCATGACTGCTGGGATTTTGAAATTGTCCAGAAAGAAGAAAGGGAGCTGCAACTATGTTCACTTTTCATGTGGACTCAATGGAGTTCCTGTATTCCTTACAGCAAGGATTTAACTTGTGTAACTAAGTGCCAAACCTTGCATTGATTTTAAAATCATGAGCTTGATTATTACATTTTCTTTGTGCTTAGTAGTGGTACATTCTGCAAGAGTCACAGTTTCAATTGTATTTTAGTCAAGTTCTCTGTGTCAAAGTCCATCCACTGAAAAATTATACCTTTGTTCTGCAGATGTGGGCAATATTTATTGTTTTTCCTCAATCAATATATAAATTAGCCAACACTTAACTTGCCATAAAAATTAATTAGCTCCACATTGATTTTCCTCCCTCATGGCAGCACTAATATTTGTGTACTAATGGGAATTGGTTCTTCCCTAATTTTATTTTCTTATCAGTAATGATAAACAAACCTCGGGGTGTGGCATGGCCAGGAAAAGGAGAGAAAAGGATGAGGTTTGGGTGAGTTTTTAGGCTGAAGCCCCAGGGCCTCATTGAAAGCTCAGTGAGAAGGGACAAGCGAGGAACAGGTTTGTGAATGGGGCTGAGTTTGTGGAGAGGGTCAGTGGTGCCTGCACAGCAGCATCCCTGGGAATGCAGAGGTGCTCCTGCAGCTCCTGCCTCTGCTGCAGAACAGCCAGGAGCAGGAGAGGGCAGTGGGAGAGCCGGGGACAGAGCAGGAGAGGGCACCAGGAGCAGCAGCTGCTGAAGGAAGGGGCTGATGATAATGGAGAGGAGAAGCTGCTGAAGGAAGGAAGGAATTGATAATGGAGAGGAGAAGCTGATGAAGGATGGAAGGAACTGGTAATCCAAAGGAGAAGCTGCTGAAGGAAGGAAGGAACTGGTAATCCAAAGAAGAAGCTGCTGAAGGAAGGAAGGAATTGATAATCCAGAGGAGAAGCTGCTGAAGCCCCACTGGTGCAGGAAGGGCCACAGCAGGCTCCTGATGGGAAGCACTCACTGCACAGAGTGGAGAGCAGAGGCAGCTCCTCATAAACGAGGAGAGGAGCAGCTGCTCACTGATTCAGTGCAGGAACACGGCAGGAAAGAGGAACAGCTCTCAATTCCCCAGGCACTGTGTTTGCTAAAATGGACCACGCTGAGCACAGGACTGAGAGGGAGCAAAGCTAAATTAGTCCTGACTTGCATTATCTTAGTAAAACATGCCTTTCTTTTCCCAGAACCAAACAATTCTTTAAAGTGGCACTGCCCCAAACTATGTTTGAGGGAAAAGCAGCTGGATTAAGCATCCCCAATTTGTATCTAATCTTCATGAGAGGATTCTCACAGAGGGTGCAACAGCCAGGAGCTCATAACTCTCCAAAACTGCAGCTGCACATGTTCCTCTTCTGCAAAGAGCAACGAGAAAATAAAGCCCTGGAGAAAACTCCAAGGACTTTAACTCGTGTACAAGAAGTTTTCTTCCAGATGTGAGGCAATTTTCTCTGGAGTGCCAGTCAGGAGCGAGGGATCCACAGAGCTCAGCCAGGCTGTGACCGCTGCCCTCCTGTCCCTGGCAGTTCTGGGCCCTCTTTGTACCAAACACGCCTGGATTTACACCCTGCTGCTGTTTCTACCACCTGAGAGGTGCCTGAAACACACGAATTTACAACTGCTTTGTCCCCAAGAATGTCAAACTGTAACTTCAGCACGGGCAAAAATCCAGGTTGAGGCTATGTAGCCTCTGCTTTGCAGCCATATGGGTTTTACAGAATACTGGTGCAGTTTGACACAATTTCCTCCTCTGATGCCTCTTCTGACTTTTTCCAGAGCACATTGTGCTGCATTTCAGCCGTGACATTCATCTCCTCTAAATTTCTACCCTGTGCTGTAATTTCTTGGATCACAGCAGTGAAATGTTAGTTCTTCTCTAGTTGTTCCTGCTATGAGAAACATCTTGCTGGAAACAGGACTTTTTCAGATAATGATTTTACAAAATGTACTGTTGCCTCACTACAAAACATCTGGACAGGTCAGTACTGAGCTTAGTCTCCACATCCTCCCCACGCCCGGGAGGTGTTGGTGGATTTCTGTGCATTTCTGGGCTCTGTTCTGCTGGACACAGAAGTTCATCCGAGTTGGGGAGGAGCAGAACATCACCAATTTTAAATCTATCAAAAAAATGCCTGTCTGTGCCTGAAGTGTTCCTGAATAACAACTGACCATTGCAATTCAGTGCATTAAATTGTCTCTTAGAGCACTTAATTCAGGCACTTAATTCAGTTTTGCTGGTGAAAAAGAGAAATGAAATCTCCTCAGAGTTCATAGAGACTGTGCTGCAATTACAGCCAACAGCCCTGGCAGAGCCCAGTCTGCTCCCTCTGGTCCATGAATTAACCTGAATTAACCTGAATTAAGAGGGTTTTATGAGCTCTGAGGTGACTTCTCAGCCCCACAGCCCCAGCTCTGCCCCACGCTGCTCCCTGCAAAGAGAGGCACTGACACATCCCTGGGAGATATTCCCTGTATCCTTCCCTAATTAATCAGACATTATCCCAGTTTGGAATACCTCGTGTTTTAAAAAAGAGGGAACTTTACTCACCTCACCAGCTCCTCAGAGCTATGTGAGAACTGCAGACACTTCAGAGAAGCCCCTGCCTAAGGGGAGATTTAATTTACCGGGATTAAGCTGTGGGATGATAAATGCTCTGTGAAGTTTTGCTTCAAGAGGTGATATTCAGTTCACAGGCATTCTCTTTGTAACTATTTCCTAAAATAGACTTGGTTTATTCCAACTTCCTTTTGTTTTCTGTTGCTCAGTGATTGGCATTTTCCCTACACACATTAGAAGAAGAAGAGGAATTAAGAAGTCAGACTCAAACTTTAATAAAGAAAATCTATTTGTTTGGACTTGGTATTTTTTACTTTTTCTTATTTCACTTTCCTCTGCTAAGCTGAGAAAATTGTGTGGAACAAACAAACAACTATAAGAATGAAATGTTATCCACTTCAAATGTTTCTCCCATTACTGCAGTATTTAAATGGATAAAACAGGTTTCTAAGCCAGTTTTTATGCTCTCAGTTTAAATATATTATTCAATCAAAGTTAGATAAATAACTTGACTGTTACTCTTTAAAGCACCCACTTTAACACAGCGATCTTGCAGCCAGAATTTCTTTTACATTTTAAATTCTGCTGTTATTCCAGGAGGAGCCCTACTCAACCAAAGGAAAGCACTTCAGAGTGAAGTGATAGCAGAAAGGACCTGTGCTGCTGGCAGCTGAAAGCTTCCAGGGGCACGGAGCCACCTCCCAGCCTGCTGGAGTAAATCCACTTGAATTTACTTCTGTAAGCTTGCTGAAGCCATTTCCCTAAGTAAATTTACAGTTGTCTAAATGTGTATTGTCCAGAGTGATGCCATGGGGCTCAGGGGAGGCACAGCAGTGTACAAGAGAACAGGTCTGGCCCAGTCATCTGTTCGCCCTTTCCTTGGTGTTAAACTTAGCCATTAATTAAAAGCCAAATGAGCAATTGCACTCTGAAAGCTAGAGATGGCAGAGGCAAGCAGTCCTGCTGTCAAATTCCATGTGCATTGTGATTGCATTGCTCATCAGCCAAAGGAGCTCTGTGAGAGGAACCAGCGCTCTCCTGACACAAAACCTGCAGCACACACAGGTCTGGCTGCAGCCCGAGCTCCCAGCCCACCTTCTCTGCCACAGAGGGTGCAATCAGCCAGGATCATCCCTGTTCTCAGGGGTTCTGCTGGCTGAAGCAAAGAAGGATGCCTGATAAATGCAACGTTCCTATCTGCATCCCAAAAAAGGACAAAATCCACAGGTTTGTCTAGGAGCCTGCTAGTAAATCATCACTGCAGCATGAGGAGGGACCTGGGTAAACACAGCAACGTGCATTTTGTCAATTATCTAAGAGTGCAAAATTCACTTTTCACAAGTGCCCACCTCTAAGAGGTTTCTAGGGACATTTAGGAGTTCTCAGTTTGGAAAACTGTCAGCAAAACAACACACTTCGCTCCTGGGCCTCGGGGGATTCTCCGTGCTTCTGGAGCTCACTCCAGCTTTATCAAAAGCCCAACAGAAAGAAGATAAACTGGCTTGAAAATAGCTTTGAAAGAAAAATATGATAAAATATTCAGAAGAACATCTAAGAAATGTAGTCTAGGAAATGTTTAAGAATTGAAATCCTTCCTTGCCGGTCGCATTGGTGGCTGTAAGTGGGTCAGAGATGCTGCACAGCCTCCCTCAGCACCTCGGAGTCTGAACTCTCCTCCATCCCACTGACATCAAACCCCCTCAGTAATCTCCGCGTGGCCCAAGATCAAAAAGCAAAAGCCCCCAGAGAGTTCTGTGCTGAGCACCCCGGTGGGAGAGCAGCAGTTCGGGGTGCTGCAGGCTGCACAGCACAGCAGAGCATGCTGCCAAACTCGGCTGCACGGGCACTGCTCCAGCACGAGCACCCACCAGCCCCTGGCAGTGTGGAAACAGGAGCCACAATGGTGGGCAGAACAGTATGCTGCAGCCACAAATGGCAGCTGAATTGCTACAAAAATGCCCACAGAAATCACAGGGAAGAACAAGGAGTTGGTGGCAGGCAGGGACGCTCTGCACAGCCCAGAGCTCCTGTTTCACTTACCAGCCTGTGGGTGAGCTGGATGGTGATGAGAGGAGAGCCTGACAGGTTGTGGGACAGCTGGGGCAGAGGCTCCACCTTGATAGAGATGAGGAAACTGCTGGCTGAGATCATGTAGCCTTTGTAGGCAGCAGCTCCGGCAATCCTTGGAAGGAAGTAAATGTGTTAAGCAAGAAGAATAACAACTGGCTTTTAGTTCATACATAACAACAAAGGAGCACAGGACCTCCTTGATCCGTTCAAGCCAAGAGTTCCTCTAGGGCAGCAAGGTCTGGCCCCAAAGGATCCTGTAAAGCACAGGGAACAGCTCTGGACACCTGGAGACTGACATTAAAGGTGCTCCTTCACCCTGCTCCTCCTCGCAAAGGTTTACAAGCCTTGCTGAAAGTGTTTGAGGGAATTAGAGAGAATCCTACCAAGGAATCTAAACAATACCCTGAGCAAAGCGAGGGGGAAACTTGCAGGGGCTTTCAGGCTGGCTGATCAAACAAATCAGTGTGTGAGGCACAAGGGCAAAATGCACATAATAAACACAGGAATGCATTTAGAAGTGATTTATAGCTTTACCTTGAAAAATCGATGATGTCCAGTTAGATTTGTTAGAGGGAAAGACAGGTCACAATACAAACAGCTGAACTGGACTAAATAGCTGATTAGTCCTGGAAATTAATTTATTCTAATGGGAAGTCATTTTGCAGTACATAAGAACCCTTATTTTAAGGTAAAACTTATGAGTTTGGCATTTTCACACATTCAGGAGTAACTGAGATCCATTTGGTTTCAGGGTAGAATTTTTTACACTCTCGGTAACAAACTGCAGGATTAAATGACTGCTGTCATGTGTCCCTTGGGCAGGTGGATGAATGGGTTTTACCACAAGAAATCTGAGCCCTGGTGAATTAACCACCAGCCAGGGTTCCCAAACGTAGCCCACCTGGAAAGGGCCAGTTTGAAACAAATGAAAAACCACCTCGTTTACACCTACCACCTGTCTGCAGTGGTTTCTTATTTTTATTTCAGAAAAAAACCCAAAAAACCTCACATCAGAAGTTCAAATCCCTGCACTCAGCTCCTTGGCAGGGCCACAGAACAGAACTCATTTTGCAGAACCCCTCAGTTCTGACCTTAAAAAGCCCATCAGTATCAGAGATTACTTCTGCTCCCAGAAACCAGCATGGGAGTGGAACTTGTCCATCTGAAGGCAGAATTTGCTACTCTGACACAACAAATTTAAGTTCAGATAAGAACCCATAAAGTTAAACTCATTATCCGGCAGTTTGAGGTTTCTCCTACACAGATTGAGAGCGTGGATGCTTCTCCACAGCCTTTATCTGCATGTTTTTCCTGTAGAGACCTTGGTGAATTTGAAGTGTGACAAATCTTCACCAGGAGCAGGGATTGGTGTTTCTGTGCCTTTCCTCACCTTGGCCCTGGGGTCAGGTGCACATTTACACAAACTCTTTGAACAGCAGCAGAACGGGCTTGGAGCATTGCTGCGTTCCAGTTTCTTTGGTTAAAGACCCAAAAGCTGCTCCTTTAGAAACCGATATTTATGTAGCCTGAAAATAGGTCTGTGTCTGTACAGCATAAAAGCTCCAAGAGTTTTGGTTTCCCACCACAAAAAAAGAAAAAGGTTGGGTTTCAAATTACAGGTGTTTAAGTAGCCCAGTGGTAGAAGGAACACAAAAGAAATTTTCTAAAACAAACTACTCTGAGAAAAATTTTATTCTACTGAAAAGTAAGCAAAAAAGTTATAACAGTAGAGCACAAAGAAGAAAAGCAAGCAGAAAATAAGTGCATACTTATTTTTAAAGTATCTTTGAGTACCTGGGGTTTGGTTCCACAGAGGAAAAATTGCTAAGGCAGCATTCCCTGAATTATTACCTTTTTGGATGCTGGTTTGGGCAGACCTGCATCTACAGTTTTAAGGACATGATCTTGTATTACATACTGCAAATATTTCAAGCAGTTTGAATTAAATGTAGAAATGTATGAAACATTTATTTTCCAGTGACTTTGTGGTTTTTTAACATTGTGACGGGGCAGACCCTTCATTCTCAAAATGAGTGCTGAAGTAAAACCCAGCTCCGGGGAGCAGGAATGGATCTCCAGGTCACCCTGTCCCGCAGATTTCAGGGAGGGCACTCAAAGATCACATATCTGTTCTAATTGCTGCACCAGAGCCCCAGGATCTGTGACACTGCATTAGAATAAAGAGCTTTGATATGCAGCACCTTCAATAAACTTTGACCTGAGTCAGGATCATTTTAATTCTCTTTCTCCCTTTGAAAAATTGAGATTGCATCTTATTACCTTAATAAATTGCATTGATCTCCTCTTTGGAAAACATAGTAAGTTATTGCCTCAATTTCTTCATGTAAGTACAAAACACTGCTCAGTGGTGGCAGAGCTGCCTTAGGGCACCTGTGTGAGCTGGACCCTTCTCAGGGAGCAGGGCAGGGCAGCAGAGCCTGAGCTGGCTGGGAATGGCACCGAGGAGGCTGAGGGCACCTGGCTGTGCCCAGCCTGGAGTGGGGTCTGCTCAGCAGGCAGGGCAGGGAGGCAGCCCTGGCAGCCCCTGGGCTGGGCTGCTGCTCCTGTCCTGCTGGCAGCAACAACCTGTGGGAAAGGCTGACAGAGGGAACTGAGCCACACACCCCAGACAGTCAAAGGAAAACCTTTGCTTCCATTTGTCATGCACTTGCTTGGAGGGCAGGGTAATGGTTTGCACGAATGGCCTGCAAAAATCCTCTGGGGAGCCCTACTGCAGAGGGACACAGCTCTGCAATTGCTTTATCTTATCTGCTAATGAGTTCAGTGATGTAGTGCATAAAGCAGATGGTCCTTGAAGAACTGCCTGGTCTCCTGTTATAAAATCACCTTATGGGTTTCTAGGATTAGGATTCAGATTTTGTCTAAAGAGGGATGTTATGTTTTCCTACGTGTTTCATTTAAGTGCAAGCTTTATCTTCATATGTGCTAGGAGAAAAAATGCAATTTCCTTTTACGAGACAGATTAAATTATGCCATTCTAGTACCAGATCTGATCAGTGGAAGAAGAAGACAAAGAAAGACAAACACGTCTCTATGGAACCAATGTTATTGCCGCCTAAAATAAAACACGTATGTAAACTTCAATCCCTCCCTGGCTAATGACTGCACGCCCTCAGCTCTGCAAAGCGGGGTTATGGCTTGTCACTTGTTCACAGCTGATAAGGACAGGGCCGTGCCGAGGGCAGGGCTGTGCCGAGGGCTATCACCGCAGCAATAAGCAGGCTGCTGCCTCCTGAGCTACTCACCTGGTGTCCACAGGGTTGATGTTGTTGAAGAAGTAATGCATGTTGTGGTAGAGCAGGCCCACGATGGTGATCCAGGCTGCGGAGAGGGAACAGGGTTATTCCTCAGAGGCAAGCCCTCCTCTCCAGGGTTCATGAGAGCCCTGATCACACAGCCCCTCACACCCCTGCTGTGGCAGGGCTCTGATTTTCTGCTGCAGGGGAGAACAGCCTGCACAGCACAGACACCCCCAGTGAAGCAGAGGGATGCCCGTGCTGCACAGCTGCACTCCAAAACCAGCTGCTAAAGCCATCAGTTGTCAATTAAAACACCCCCAGCAGCAGGAAGGGTGGCAGGACACAGCAGTGCCTCCCTGGGAGCCACCAGGGCCACCCCAGCGCTGGTGGCAGCTCGGGGAGCTCAACCCAGGACATCAGTGCCAAAGGTGTGTTTGTTGCCCACATCCCGGGTGATTCTGGGCCAAAGGTGTGTTTGCTGCCCACATCCCGGGTGATTCTGGGCAAAGCTCCGTTTGCTGCCCACATCCCGGGTGATTCTGGGCAAAGCTCCGTTTGCTGCCCACATCCCGGGTGATTCTGGCCTCTCCAGCACCTGAGTGAAGACACAGATGTGTGTTTTCTCAGAGCCAGCCACACAGATGTCTTTTACTATCTCTTTTGTCGGCTTCCAAGTATTTATAGTGTCAGCTGTTTAAGGTGAAATACCAGATTTTTTAGGTTAGCTCATCTGGACAGTGTAGAAGTATGGCCTGAAGGCTGAAATTGCTCAGAAGGGAGGTTCAGCTGGAAAAGAGTAAAACATTCAATGCCCTGGATCATTTCAGGATACAAAGCATGACAATGCTCTGGAAAATCAAAGAAAATCTGTATGGTGAGGAACTGCAGAAGTGGAGAAGGAAAAAACTCCTCTCGCATGCTATTTTTGGCATTACAAGTTGGCTTCCAATTTTAGTTATTCAAACCTGGGAGGACTTGCAGTTTCCAGCCAGAGCAAAGAAACAAAGCTGTCACCACAAATCAAGCAGACAGTTCAGGAATTATCAGAGAATTTCTCACTGCAGGTTATTTTCAGCTAACTTTGCACTTTATGAAAGAGGGATGGAGCATCCCTCTGCAGAGGTGACTGCAGAAAAGCCTCTGGGTGAGGAAATTCTGTGGGCTGGAATTTAGGGCACCTAAGTCAGATTTTCAAAGATTTGAGAATGGAAGTAGATGCTTTTGTAAATGGGTTCCTTCATTCTCTAAAGCGTAGATAATTAACTTAACATTGCTGTTTTAGAGTCTTGACTAAATGTGCAGATTTTAGCCATGCTTCTTTTTGGGATTTTAAAAATTTTTGCATAGGTATGGATTTCTAAGTTCTGCCTTTTTGCCACGAGTGTAGTCCATATCTTCATTCTGTTCCTGTAGCTATTGCTTAAACCTGTCATTTTATAGTTTAATTTTATACAAAGGACCGATTTTGCATGAAGGGATAGGTAATACCTGACCTGACATCCTACAATGTCTTAAAAATAACCAGTTCAGATAATTAAAAAGAATAATTAGGAAGTTATGGATTCTCTGATGCAAAAATGTGTCAGAATTAAATGGCTTCGGTCTCTGTTGTTCAGCCCTATTATTAAATATTAATCTAATTAACATGAAAACTCCACTACACTAATTGCTCGTTAGCCGGACAGGGCCACTGCTGCTTGCTCAGACTCAGTGCAACCCACAGGGATCAAATCAGTTACCTGGAAAAATGAAGTGAACCAAAAGCTGTTCCAAAACAAAATCATTTTCGGATGCCCTGTGCACACAAGTCCACTTCTCTCTTTAATCTTTTCCTTACCTTTTCCATGGAAAGCTTCACTGGGAATGGAAATGTAGCTCTGCCCTCGAGATGGAAATCGATAGTGGGACACATTCAGGGTCTGGGGATGCATTTTGACCACAGCGTAATCTGTGTGATAACCCAGAGAGGAGTCAGCACCTCAACAGCCCCGACACCCCCTGAGTGCCCACCCAGCCCTCCCTGAGAGCTCTTGCAGCCCCTCTCTTTAACCCCAGATGTTTGCAGGCAGTGTGCTGGATCCCCAGCTCCCAGACTGCCTTTGCACTGGCTCCTAAGGCAGAGCAGGCGCTCTGTGTGCTGCTGTCACCCACGGATCTGCAGCCAGGCTCAGCCTCCAGGGCAGGCAGAGCACAGCAGCAGCTCTCTGCACCTGCACTGGCATTTGCAGGCAGCACTGCAGTCCTGCACCCGAGCGTCCCAGTGTGTGAGGGGCACACAGAGTGATGGATGCTCCTGGGAATAACCTGCTCAGCTTGTTCACCCCTCAGAGGGGTCTCAACAAGGCACAGCAGGCAGCCAGTACAGATGAAACACCTCTGACACCTGGAGCATCCAAAGATGCAGATGAAATTAAGCTGCTAAGGTGCTAACCTGCACTAAAATAAAATTCTCCAAAAAGTCAAAACTATTCCTATCATTTCAGTCTCTTGCAAAACCCTTGCAAAGATTAAGGTTTTGCATCACCCAAACCTCTATGGGCTGCATGTGAGCTCTAGGCCCTTTAACTCTATTAGCATAGCACTCCTCAATACATAACATTTATTCTGAATTCCTCCCCACATAACCCCAGGGAAGCTCCAGCACAGCCAGAGCCCTCATCTCCAGCCTGGCTGCACCGACAAATAAAACTCAGTTTGGCATTGCAAAGAGGGAGATGGTGAGTTCTGCTTTAAACTCAGGCTGGCATTGCAAAGAGGGAGATGGTGAGTTCTGCTTCATGCTGGGGAAGGAGAGCTGAAGCACAGAAGGGTTTAGGACAGAGCAGCTCTGGCCAGCCCCACCTGCCACGGCCGAGGAGCCCTCGAGGGTCAGCGGCAGCGAGTTCTCCTCCGAGCTGCCCTCCAGGTTGCGGGACAGGTGAGCCATCACCGTGTCGATGGTGTGGATCAGGCTGCTGAGCACCGCGGGGCTCTGGGGAGGGACACAGACAGGGCTCACAGGGGCTGGGAGCAGGGCACAGGGCTCACAGGGACTGGGAGAATGGCACAGGGATCACAGGGGCTGGGAGCATGGCACAGGGATCACAGGGGCTGGGAGAATGGCACAGGGGTCACAGGGACTGGGAGCACAGCACAGGGATCACAGGGGCTGGGAGAATGGCACAAGGGTCACAGGGACTGGGAGCAGGGCACAAGGGTCACAGGGACTGGGAGAATGGCACAGGGCTCACAGGGACTGGGAGAATGGCACAGGGATCACAGGGACTGGGAGCACAGCACAGGGCTCACAGGGGCTGGGAGAATGGCACAGGGGCTGGGAGCAGGGCACAGGGATCACAGGGACTGGGAGCACAGGGATCACAGGGGTTGGGAGCACACCACAGGGTGCCCCTGGGTCCCTGCCCAGCCCAGCGGGCTCCCACCCTCCCTGGAGAAAGTGCCCCACACACCGAGCCCAATCAGAGCGTAACCTCCCAAATTGCTGTTTGTAGAACAGCCAAAGCCTCTGACAGCCAGCTCCACTCAGCATCCAGCAGAATGAGGCCAAAACGGTGCAGAGTTTTTTTAACAATATATAAAGATTGGTATCAGATCTTTCTTGGAACACAAGCTGAGACATTACAGTTGGGCCTTTCCTTCATCTTTAGTTAAATGCTCCTCAGTATAAAAGCAACTTTAACCCTCCAGGTTGAAACCTGACTCATAAAATCTCAGAGTTAAAAAGGAAACCTATTTTATCTGAAATCCATTTACACCAGAGATGATCAAGGATATGAAGCTAAGATCTAAATCAATTAGACATCTTTTTGTCTTAAAAGCGTTTTACACTTCAATGAGACCTCCCTGTGTTTTAGCTTATCCTTCTCTCACTTTAAAAGCTCTTTCTTCTGAAATCTGGGTTTTCTTATGATTCAGGCAAAAACCTCGGGAAATTTCTGCATTCACCCTGCATGTATTTCATCAGTGACAGATGATAAAATAAGTCATAGTGCCAAAAGTCCCGGCAAGTGAAGCAATAGTGACAACCAGTTCTGTTATCATCTGTGTGGATTTGTGCAGCTGAAGGAATTCACAAATCTGAGCCCATTTGTCTTACCTCTGGTCCATCAATCCAGTCAGACAGTAACAGAAAGTCTTCAACAGCTTTTAAAAATGCCTAAAAGACAAATAAAACTCGATTACTTATAAATCACTACATCTCCTGGCAAGGAGCCAGGGCAGATCTCTGTAGGATTTTCTCAGGTTTGTGTAAAGATGACAAGCCCACTTCCATTCCCCTGACAGGTCCATCTCTACCTGGCAGCATCCCCACAGTTCTGTGTGGTGACAATTATTTCACTGGCAGCCCAGCCACTCACTGCAGCTGAGCCAACACTAGGACCGAGACCGAATGAACTTATTCTTTATTCTCCTGTTTTATCTAAACTCACATGGCATCCATGGAATTATAGAGGCTTGGAAGGGACCTTAAAAATTGTCTCCTTCCAGCCCCTCTCCCTGTCCAGCCTGGCCTGGGACACTGCAGGCTGGGACTGGCACTGTCCAAACCCAGTCCCATCCTGGGCAGTCTGTGATGTGCACACAGGGAAGGGGAAAAGGGAGCACAGAAAACTGCACTGAAAATTAAAAGAAAAAACCCACATTTCCAGCTTAAACTTCTCTATTAAAAAGCCTTCAGAGAATGAATATAGTGAAGTTCCACTGTGAAATGTGGAAGACACCACATAACAAAACCCAAGTCAGATTTGTCAGAAGCGATTCATTACAACGTGTGTCAGTAATCAGAAAGTTTATTGCACATCACTTAAATCAAATTTCCTGGTGCTGTGAGGCGTAGACAATCAGGCAGAGATAACTCCACAGAAAATCACATGCGTGCTCAGTGCCTGTCGCTCAGAGAATTAGCTGCAGACAATTGAGAGCCTCACCATCAATCAGGCAAATGACAGGGTCGGTGTGTATGATCAGGCCTCTCTCGTATTTACATCCCCAAATAGCTCTGCTAGAGATAATCATGTCCCACATTCCTGTCTGCAAATCACTGTCAGTGGCACACAAAGCAGAGTCAGACAGCAGGAACGAGCACCCAAACAGTGATGTGGGAAACGGGTGTGGTGCTGGGCAGGATGCTGCTCCATCTGCAACCCAGAGCCCATAGGAATTTCTCAGGAAAACAAAGGAAACAAAGTATTAAAGCTTTTTAGAAGGGCTTTTGCTGCATATTAAAATGTGATCCATGAAATCCAAGCTTTAGGGTTTGCAAAAGCCAAGCTTTTAACACAGTCTCCCAGTTGCTGTCCCTGTCGCTTTCAGAAGGTTTATTTGTATTTTTTGCCTGAGTAAAGCGCCCTTGTCACTCTGGAATTACCCCCAGGCTTAGGGCAACAACCAGCAGAGAGGCCAGAGCTGATTACTGCACTAATGACTTTGCAGCCTGTGAAACCAGGCAATTAGATGCCAGGGAATTAGATGCCCACCACTTTCCAGCACTCTGTGTTATAACTTTATGTGAGTGGGACACAGCCCCTTGTTCTCGGCTCAGGCTGCAGAAACAGCTTGCTTTTTGCCCTCTGTGGATTAGCTAGAATAAAATAAATTCCTTGAACCCATTTCAGAGACAGTGACTCCACCATTTTCCCTGGACAGGCTGTCCCAGTGCTCGACAACCCTTTCAGGGAAGGATTTTCCCCTAAGATCCAGCTGAGGTCTCCCCTGGCACCACTTGAGGCTATTTCTCCTTGTCCTTGTTTGGGAGAAGAGATCCAGCCCCTCAGTGTCTTCCTTGCTCATGATGGGTCCAAAGGCATAAATAAAATACCTCCAGGGACCAGTGAGACATTTCAGCTCTGCTCACTGCTCAGCCTCTGCCGCTCCCTGAAGCAGGAGGTGTCTGCAAGGAGCAGAAGCTCTCCCAGCTGCACTGGGTATTCCAGGTTTGGAGAAAGCAGGCTCACCTGGAGCCCCACTCACCTGGGCCAGGCTCAGGGCAGTGTGCTCTGCCAGGGAGGAGTTGGGCAGGCTGAAGGACACGTCCTGCAGGTGCCCCAGCAGGGAGCTGGGCGAGGGCGAGCTGCCTCTGTCCCGGCTCAGCGCCGCGATGATGGGCTGGTAGGCATCGGTGGGGAGCTGGAGGAGACACAGCACAGCACAGAATGTCCTAAATGGTTCTTACTGCCCCCAGCAGGGACAGAACTCAGCACAGAATATCCCAAATTATCTGTACTGCTCCCAGCAGGGACAGAACTCAGCACAGAATATCCCAAATTGTTCTTCCTGCCCCAGACATGGACACAGCTCAGAACAGAATATCCTAAATTATCCGTACTGCCCCCAGCAGGGATAGGAATCAGCACAGAATGTCCTAAATTGTCCGTACTGCCCCCAGCAGAGACAGAACTCAGCACAGAATATCCCAAATTGTTCTTACTGCCTCCAGCAGGGACACACCTCACCTCAGCACAGAATATCCCAAATTATCCGTACTGCCTCCAGCAGGGACACAGCTCAGCATAGAATATCCCAAATTATCTCTATTTCCCCAGACAGTAGAAAGGAAAAGGGAAAAAGGAAAAAGGAAAAGGAAGAAGGTTAGTTCAAACATTAATTCAGGTCTATCTGCCACGAGTTTCTGTGAACAAGAACTGATAGAAGAAAGAAAGAAAACAAATAGAACTTTGACACTGCAGAGAGCAAGAACATGAGAATACACTAATATACCACAACAGGCAATTGTTGTATTCTCCAAAAGAAAAATCGGTTTTCATTTTTTTCATTATACTTCTACTAAACAGATGGAAACCAATTTTCTTATTGTGGTGGGAATGTTTTTTTAATCTTAAAGGAAACAAAAGGAAACTTATCAAAATGGTTTTAGCCTCCTATATTTTCAAAGTTAATAGTAACACTTCAGAAGTTGCTTTTTTTTTAATGTAGTAAGTATTTTATTTAGCAGGGAATTTCCTTTGTTTCCTTTGGATTCCCATCTTCTCATAGTGGCCAAAATTTCTGCCTATGCATTTATAATTGAGGTATGAAAATAAGTGCCATTAATGAAAATCAAGCAGGGAGGAGGGTCTTTAACTCTGATTTATGCACATTCTGCCATTATGGAAAAGAGATCTGAGCACTGTCTTACCACAGGGTCTGTAGTGGTTGTCATCAGAGACCAGGGAAGTGTTGAAGAGAGCAGAACTTGCACACCTGGGAAAATACAAACACGAATGAGTGTGTTACCAAATCTGGATTTTTTATATCAGATACATAATTTTATATATACATACACATATATTCCCACCTCAGGCTGAATCAGTCGTAACTGAAAGAAACAGATTTGCTATTCTGTGGATTTTATTTATTTCCAGTACTGTAGCCACACAACCTTGTTTAAAAAAACTAATTTTCTGATTCAGTTATCAGGTTTATTCCATCATCTTATTACAGATGAGCATTGCGGTAGTTTAATTCTCACATACTTAAATCTTTGTTTGCAAACAGGAAATTTCAATATAATTTTGTTATATCTCAATAAGAAAAGGCCAACTGTGCAGTTACAACACTGACATCCATCTTTCTCCCCCAGTTCTCTCCCCAACATTTACAGAAATTCTTTAGGGTAATCCTATGCCTTATCAGCAGTAAATAATGATCTATGGGCAGTTCTGACAATTTCATGGAAGATCTCCTTTTATTTCTGTGCATTTATTTCTGGGAATGGGGGGCACTGGAAAAATGAGGGCCAAGCCTCAGCTCCCATCTCCAGCTGCTGAAGCTGACTCAGATCTCGAGTCTGAGTTGTCCGAGTGCCAAATAAAATCACACCCACAAAGGCAAACTCAAAAAATTAAATTGCCACATTTCCCAAGTGCTCCAAAACACCTCATCACATTAAAACAATGTTGGTTTGGAATTCTTCTGTCTAATTAAAAAAATGTATACCTGTCATCTCTTTACATTTGAATTCCTAAGCCTATAGAAATACACATCCAGCTTCACTCTCAGTTAAGAGGCCATGCATTTATTTTTCACAGCATCCTGATAGTTCCACATGGCACTGACAAACCTGAACTAGGAGTTTAAGGGAAAAAACCCATCAACACAACAATTCATGCCATGGAAATTGCAGTAAAGTCACAGGTGCTCACGGCATGAACATCTCAAGGTACAAATCAAGGAGTTTGCTGTGCAGCCTCCTGAAAATCAGCAGGGATTACAGGTGGGATGCAGGCAAAATTCTGCAAAAGCTGGGCTCCATCAGGACTGAGGGAGCACTCAGAGCAGGGCTCAGAGGGGAGCTCCAGACACTGATGTGCACATCGGGCTGGGGCGCCAGCGAGAGCCCGGAGGGGGGAGAGGGAAGGGAGCCCTGCAGGATTGCTGGAGCTGGGGCACAGGGGTTAAAAACAGCTCCCTCTGTATTTATCTGAGCCGAGGAACAGGGCACACATATTGATGAATTGGGGCAATTTGGAAATCTGCTGCTCTTGGGTTTAGCAGCAGAACATTCTTCTGGAGCTGCATTAATCACGGAGTGTGATTAATGGCAGCTTGGAGCTGGACACTGTTATAGTAACCCTCGACTGTTGTCAAAGATACAGCAGCCAAATACAAAAGCATTTTTTCCACCATGACCAGAGCATTGTAAACTTTTTAAAGATTTTAAAGTTATTTCCTCTATCAAATGACTACCAAATGAGTACTCTCCTGATCAGAAGTTTTCTTAGCTTTCATAGGAAACATTTTTTAAAATTAAAAAACTTTTTTGTGGCAAATCAAACAGATAATTTCATTATATACCCATAGATGGAGGGTTTTCTTTTTTGGTAACTTCAATTCTACATAATGAGCTTGTGCTTTAATTTTTTATGAAATACATTTTGTACAAATTTGGTCGGTGTAATCAAACCTGGAAGTCATAAACACAAACATTCTCATTTCCAGGCACACACCAGAAATTCTGTGTTAAGATAGTTCCCAGGGCTTTAAAAGCACCCCAGGTATGGGTGCAATTGTTTTAGCTCTTGGGAAGTTGTAGCATCAAGGAAAGTGCAAACTCCCATGGAAGCAGGAGGTTCTAGGTGCCCTGTGCTGACCCACGGCGGGCACTGCTGACCCACGGCGGGCACTGCTGACCCACGGCAGCCCTGGTGGGCACCACTCACCCACGACAGGCACCACTCACCCACAGCGGGCACCAACCACTCACCCACGGCGGGCACCAACCACTCACCCACGGCGGGCACCACTCACCCACGGCGGGCACCACTCACCCACGGCGGCCGTGAAGTACTGGCGCACCTCGCGGGGGCTCAGGGCCCTCTCCCAGATGACGAACTCGTCGAAGGCGCCGCTGACGGAGCGCCGCGCCGTCCCCTCCGTGCCCCCCAGCAGCTCGCTGCCGGCATCGCCGTAGTCGTAGAAAACCTTCCCGTCGGGGTCCGCCGTGCTCAGGCTGCCGTTGACGTAGACCTTGAGGCCTTCCCGCGACCTCCAGGTGAAGAGGACGTGGGTCCAGTAGGGGCCTGCAGGGCAGAGGCACAGCGGGCGGTGGGTCGCTGCATCCCCCGCTGGCAGGGCTGAAGGCGAGCCAGGGAACGCTGCTGCTGTGCCTGTGCCTGCGGCTGTACCCCCGGGGCAGCCCGAGCCTTGGCAGGATGCCCGCCAGCTGTGCCTGAACCCGGCTCACTGCAGCTCCATAAATCCCTGCTGAGCGCCAAGACCTGAGCTCTCTTCACTCCGGCCTCAGAGCTCAGCCCGGCGAGAGCAGCACGAGGGCTGCAGGAGCTGCAGAAACCACTCAAAAGTTCTCACTGCATCCTTGTCACGCTTGAGAGGCAGAAAACACTGTATTAATTTTCACATGGATTGGATAATCCACAAACTCGTGAATTATTCTTGCCTTTTGCTCCTTTTCCCTTAAAATAAGATTTCTAAACTGATTCATTAAGGTTTATGGAACTGCTACCATGAGTCCTATTTTAACAATGCATAGCCAGTCATGTTAGGGCAAGAAAATATTTATTGAATGCCATTAGCATTACTGGAAGACCAGAATTCGTTCCAGTCAGTAGATATTAGTGCTCCCCTGCACCGCACAGTTTAGATAGAAGCAGTGAGATATGTGATATACCAAAATGTTTATTAATGCTATGGCTTGGCACAGAAAACCTGACACTCAACAGGAACAGACCCATGCAAGCAGCAAAGAGCAGTGAGAGAGAGAGCAGACAAAGCCTGAGCTCAGCAGAGAGCAGCCTGGCAGCTCTGGGTGCTGTCAGGGATTGATCTGCCTTCTTTGCTCGTGCTCCCATCTAAACATGCAAGAACCACTGGAGTCAGTGAGGATCCCCTCCAGACACCACCGCAAGCTGCATCCAGGGGCAGTCAGCAAATGCAAATGTTCTAGAACACATCACTGCTTTCCCTTTGCATTTCACCTCTCCCACCCCACTCCAAGAGGATTCTTAAGCACAGAGGTCTGCAGCTGGTTTTGTATCCCCACTTCTCTTCCCAGAGCTTGTGCTCTGCTCACTACCTCTGTCTGCAGGAATAAAGCAGAATGTATCAAATAAATGAGGTTTTTCAATATATAAACTTTACCTGGTGGACTAAAGCTGGCTTTCCACTTCATCATTGCATTCCCACGGCTGTAAAACTCCACGGAGCCTTCACCTTCGTTTGAGCAGATTTTGAAACCACTGGAAATTACTCGCCCACCAGAGGCAGGGAGAAGCTTGGCCTGTTGGTCTTGAGTCTTCCAGAAAAAGGAAAATGTTACTCCTGAGGAAAGCAAGGGAGAGAAGACTTGAATGAAGAAAGGGAGTGCAATTGAAAATTTCCAGTGTGCAGAATACAGGCAGTGGGGATGCTTCTGAGGTCAGATCATCCGCTGGCATAAACCAGGACAGCATTTTTAAAATCAACAATGCTCCAACAGTTTAAACCAGATAAACAATCCCTCCCTCACCTTTGCCTCCCCTGAGCACACCCAGGACACAGCAGTGTCCTGAGCAGCTTCTCTCAGTGAAAACCAAAGTTCTGTGATCTCCAAAGGGCACCTACACGTTTTTGGTGCTCCCCAGGCCCCATCACAGCCAGATTTAATCCAGTGACCTCTCCTGAGCTCCTCAGCACTGCCTGGCTCCAGCCCACCCCTGCTAACAGCTGGATTTCATAAGCACTTGATTATGTGATTTTCACCCTTTAGTGCACCAACAGCTCCTGAAAGCCAAGTGTAAAATAAAGGGTAACTGTACATGCACAGCCACAGAAAAGATTCTGGGGTCCCCACCTACACAAAAATAATTGTCCCGAAAATACAACACAATCCTGCAAGTGCACATGTGATTAACTTCTCTCACAAATGATCTGCTCACTTCCCAGCAAATCTCGCTATTATCCTGTGAAATGGAGCAGCTCTCCAGGTCACACACTAGTGAATAAACGTAATTTCCACACGGTGGCTTTCTGTAATAAAGGCTACCCCAGAAAGCTTCACTGACACATAAGTGGCAAATCAAACCTTGCTCACATTTGCCATTTGTTGGCTACAGGAGCTTCTCCAAATGAGCTCAAGCCAAGGAATAAGAGAACATTCTCTTGCACCTCCCACAAATGTTCCTTTTGACTGAAGATGCCACTCCAATGAGCCCAAAACTGCTCACAGAAAACCATTGTTTAAAGATTGCTTGAGAAGGAGCAAAGTGGGGAAGAATGTTTCAACACACCAAAAGCAAGAAGCATTTGTTTTCTCAAGTAAAAATAACAGTCCCGAAATGTTGTGAAATCCAGCCTTAGAAGAAGCACTGGGATTTTTGTTTCATGGGTTATTATTTCACCTGGGGAGATCCCAACACTCTTCCCAAAGGCATTTCCTGGTTAAAAACCAACATACAAGAAACTCCATCCAATGTGTTTGTTTCACACAAACACATCAAGGATGGTTAAGCAGCAGCAGCTGAAATAAAATCCATCTTATCCTCACCACAGGTGCATTTGGCTTGAAAAAAACACAGACACGTTCTTTAGACACGAGGGTGTTGCCTTTTTTCCTTCTATTAATATGTGCTGCAGTGACTTAGTGATTAAAATTTATATGATTTCTTTTCCTCACATTTTATCTACTGAACATTTCAGTGCTTTATGCCTTTAATGTTCTTGTTTGTGAGATACTGGGAGTGTTCTGGTGCTACAAAAACAATTTATTCTGATTGTTATAGATGTTGAAAGAATATGATTTCCTGATGATTTTTATTTCCCAGTGGCATGAAAAAAAGTATGAAAAGCTACAGCACATATCACAAAACACACCTGGAGCAGGATGCTGAATCCCTTTTTCTGTCACTCTCAGGAAACAGCCAGCTGCTCTGGGTGCTTACAGAGCTCACCAGCAGCTCTTGCTTCAGCAGCTCCAACAAAAGTGATCCTAATTTCCAGCCACGTTACCCCCCGAAGGATGGCCCAAGTCAGCGACAGCCAGAACACTTCAATGTTGGCAATGCTGCTGGAGGTCAGGGAAAGCCAACATTTGCTTTGGAACCTTCCCTTTCCGTGGGGTTCTGCATCTCCCGTGACTGCCCTGCGTGAGTGACCAGGCTGCTTGCTCCGACTGTCACACACAGTTTCAACCATCCCCTGTCACAACACGTGTCAAACCCCTCACTTTGTGATCCCAAGGGAAGGGGAAGAGAAACAGAATGGAGGGATTTCAGCACCTATGAAGACAAATGGATTCCATAACATCACAGACCTAAAAATGTCCTTATCTCTAGAGATAAAGCTAGAGATTTATCTCTAGAGCCCACTCCTGCAAAGAGGTCACACTGAATCTGAGTGGTTGGTGATCAGTTCCAATTTAACCTGCAGTTAGAAAAGACTAAATTTACAGCAATCAACACTCAATTGTCTTAGAAGTCAATAAAGTGTCAAGCCTCATTTTTAGATTTCACTCCAAGGAGGAAAGAAACAACGATTATTGAATAACATAACTCGGCAGCAAAAGAAAAGTCAGTCATAATTAATGAATTTCTCACCTTCAGGCCCACAAGCCTCTGGATTACTAATGCAAGAATTCCGATAGCTTCCGAAGAAGAGAAAGGTGACTCCTTTCTTTTCAGTGACGTAAATCCCTTTGTTCACCATCCCTTCTATAATATCTAAAGCAAAAGCAAAATCCAGTTTAACGTTCACATAAAGGAAAAGCTCCTGGAAACATGATTTTAACTGACCCCTACAGCTCAGATGTTTACCCTGGTCCAGCTATAAGCTTTTGTTACTTTCTGTGTTTGCTTTTCTTTTTGCGTTTTTGGTTTCAGTTTGCCAGTTTAGGTGTGCTCAGCTTCTTTGTTTCCATTCGTCAGTGGTTTGCTGTATTTTTAAAAACCACACAGACACCTCTTTTATTTCAAGTTTGTAAATATTACACTCATACCCACTCAGCTCTGTGGTTAACTAAGACTGACAGAACCTATACACCCAAAAATGATTATTTTAAAGTAATCTGAGTGAACTGTATGCTTTCCAGAGTTTGGAATGCCAGACACTTCCTAGAGGTGTCTTACTGTTAGGCTGAGCTAGTAAAGAAATTCTTTCACCAATTAAAATGTAACAAAATAGTGTTTCTTTTTTTCATTTTTTGAAAGGGCAGGCTGGTGATCAAACGCCAGTTTTCAGTGAAAAATAACTCAATGAAATATCCTTGACAAGGTCCACTCAAAGAAATGGAGCTCCTTTCACACACCCTTTGCTGGGTGTCCTTGGCTCTTGCAAAGGCAATTGCTTTATCCAGCGTGGATAATGACCAATTTGCTTGTGTTTGCTTGTGCTCCCTCCCAAAGAAAAGCGCAGCTGGTTCATCTCCTGCCAGCTGAAGCACACCAATCCTCTCAACAGGAAAACCTGGGATTTGTTTGCTGCAGGAGCCTCCTCAAGTCTGAGAGTGCAGCTGACAGAAAGTGCTGGGGAGATTCTCCTCTTTGTCCTGGCGATTTTAGCAATGCAGACAATGGGAAATTACAATGGAAAATCATGAATAAAAGCCTCTGCTGGGCTGGGAGAGCAGTGAATATTAGCCTGCCTGTTTCTGAGAGGGAGAACATCAGTTGTTGGTGTGGGATTTCCTGCTACCTCCATCCTCTGGGATGGCATTTCTGCAAGGAGGAATCAGAACTTTGGGTTAGGACCCTTCTTTGTCATTTCCTCTGGAAAAACGTTGAGAAGAGCTGTTCCAAGGGAGCTCCAGCAGTGAGAAGACATTTTCCTTTTCTATATTAATACAGTGAATGCATGTTTCAGTGTCCTCCTAGCTCGTCCCAAAACTTTATTAAAATATCAGTTTTCAGGTATCTTCCCCTCCCTTTGAGGAAGAAACCATCAAGCCCTGCCTGTAACTGACAGAAAAATTTAGTTCCTTTTAAAAATGTGTGTACTGTGGAGCAAATCAAGCATTTCTAAGTTCTCAAGCCACCTGAATTATAAATTCATCTCTGCAGGAAGGTTCCCATAAGGTAAAGCATTTCTGTTCCCACGGCACTTCCTTTGCCACTGGTGTCACTCTCTATAATGTTCATACTGAACATGCTTTATTGTGTGAGAACTATGCAAATGGCCTATAAAGCAGATAAGAGAGGACTGGAAGGAATTAGGGTCATTTGAAGTTCATCATTAATAAGAGCTCCCATGTGCCAGCATACTTTTAATGTTAGAGAGTAAAAAAATAGTGGGTTTAGCATTCCAATATAAAATTCTTACTATCTGAGCAGCCCAAGTGACAGTTTTACCATTTCCATCCTTCTCTAGGTCAGGTTTTCTGACAGTTTGATGTGAGTTAATTCCTAAGGCAAAGTGGGCACGAGGTCACATTTCAACTGCAGCCACACAGCACAAATGCAATTACTGAAATTAAGTGACTTTAAGCTGCTGTGCCTGTAACTGGTTTCCAGTCTGCCAGGTTTCTGCCTGTGAGTTGGCATTTTCTGTTCTTCCTTTCATCTCCAAGTGTGTGGATGTTTAAAAAAAAATAATATAAGGACATATATAGAAAGATTTGCTTCTCATTAAAAAAACAAACAAACAAACAAACAAAAACCCCAAAATAAACCATCATGTTAACCAAAGTTGTCATGACTGACAACCTCTCACTTCCAGGCTTTGCAAATCTGCTTGCATTTGTCTTTCTTAACATGTCCTCTAAAAACTATTATAAACCAGTGAAAAACACAGGGCTTCTTTTCCATTTTAGCCTTGAAAGACAAGAAAAAAATTAACCTGTTTGTTCTCATATGCTCCTCTGAAATATCATCTTGTTTTCTTTTAAGCATAATAGCAATTTTTTTAGGTTTTGGAGGATCCCTGGGGCCCATCCTCCCGTGGGGATGCCTCTCCCAGAATCCCAACCCAGGTAACACAGCAGGGTGCTTTTCCAGAAACGTGTGACAGTGCAAAAACAATACACACTTTTACCACACGAGCTCTTGAACCAGAACCCAGAGTTAACTCTGAATCCAAGGCTACAAGAGCCATCCACGCCTGACAAATGCAGAACAAAAAAACGAGAAAATCCTCACCTACAGTTGCAGAGAAGTTAGAGTAGGCAGAGTCATTGGTATTTACAAAGGTAGAGTTATGGGAAGGAAGCACAGTGAAGTTGTGGATTCTTAGAGCTGGGTGGAACAACAAAAGAAAATAAGCAAATGAGCAAAACAATGAATAAACACCATCAGTAATGAGCTGGCCAGTTCATATCTCTCAGCACAGCAGAAATCACAGATTTGTTGGTTTAATTTTACCACACAAGCACTTCTCAGGGGCTGGGACTGTCCTGGCTCCACCTGCTCAGGGAAGGCAGAGCCACCACAGGAACAGAAGGTTTCCTTCAGGTACTGAGCAGAAAGTCTGAGAAACACCCAGCTGCAGATGGGGGCTGTGGAACAGCCTGCTGCTGCTGCTGAGAACATCTGCAATGGAAATCCATCGCTGCAGGGCTCGGAGCTGGGGCAGCCCCAGGCTCTGTCCAGCTCTGGCGCCCCAGGGAAGGGACAAGGGACGGGGACACCTGGAGCAAGGCAGGAGAGGCTGAGGCTGGGGCTGCTGGGCTGCAAAAACCTCAGTGTGCAAAAAACCCCAGGGTGCAAAAAATCCCAGTGTGCAAAAAACCCCAGTGTGCAAAAAACCCCAGTGTGCAAAAAACCCCAGTGTGCAAAAAACCCCAGTGTGCAAAAAACCACCAGTGTGCAAAAAACCCCCAGCGTGAAAAGAAAAACCCAGCTGGAGATGGAAAGATGTGCCAGGCTCTCCTTATTTGTGCCCAGAGAGCAGATCAGAGCAATGGGCACAAATCAAAATACAAGAAACTCCATCCAAACATAAGAAAACCTCCAACTTTTTTATGTGTGACCATAAGGTTTTATTCTATAATTTGTTTTCCTGATTTTGAAAATTTAACAGTATCTTGCACACTGTAATTGTTTACCCTGGGCAGGCAAATAAAGCCTGATGAAAAGCCCATCAAAGTAGATGGAGGACATTGATTTGGCATTTAGACCAACTGAGCTCATAGAACAAAAAGATAAATGCTCTTAGGAAAAGAAAAACACCCACAAAAACCTTCAGATAAAAATGCATGGAAAACAAGGGGTCAGGTGAAAAACCTGAGCATGGCCACTTTCTCTTTATTTGCTATATTTTGAGCTGATTGTTTCATTTCAATTGCTTCTAGTGCTGAGATTTCCAAAACATTAATTTGCTGACACGCTCTCACCACACGAATGCTTTGAGAGATATAAATCTGGCTTCACACACAATGACTTCAACAAATAAAATGGATTAACATGACGGACAGATTATGGTGCTTCAAGGATTTAAGAGGAGAAACATGGAATGAAAATAATTGCATGATATGATGAGTGGAAAAATAAGAAAGACTGCAATAAACAGAAGAGTTGTGTAATCAGAATGGAGCCAAAACCAAGCAAATTGTCACCTGGAGTAGATTACAACAATAAAGAACAATTTTCTTGTATATCAAAGTGAAATATCAGACACATAAAACCTCTGCTGGAGGCAGCTGAAATGATATCGTGTCTGATAAGCACAGTACAAACGACTGAGGGGAATTTGAGCCATCCAGTGCAACGCTGCAGAGAATTCAGCACTGGCAGAGCTGCACTGCAGAGACAAACACCTCTGGCTACTGATGTCCCCTGCAAGTAATTGTAAGACAAAATCCACCAAGTCTTTCAGCAAAGTCCTGCCGCTGGCTCATTTATAAATTTCTTTATCACCATGTCATAACAGGAATTAAAAGAGATTGTTCCTGTGAGCCAGTCCCTCTCCTGTAAGTGAAGGTTTGTAGGATCACGAGCTTCATCTGCTCTGCTTTCTCTCTTCCAAGACACTGAAAATATTTCTGAATTTTGCTGAAGTAAAATTAAACAAAATTTGAAAAACAATCTAACATCAATTGCCCTTTTTCAAGAGATGTATTTTTTATATATTATTTTCAAGCACTTTCAAAACAGCTTGGTTGTAATGTGATTGATTGCCAAAACAGTGCTAGATATGGAGCACTTCACTCTTTTTGAAACCACGTGAAGTCCAGGGTCAGAAAATTACTTTAACACACTTTTAGAGAATTTATGTGGCAACTTTTGTAAGCCAAATAATTATTCTATTGCAGTCAGTAGGAATGCTGCCATCAGCTCCTAATGGAAGCAGAATATTGCCCAGATATATTTCTGGTCAGGCAATTCCATTCCTTTCAGAAATTTTGTGGAAATACAGGTCAAAGTTTAGGCTTAAAATAGTTGAACACCCCTACAACAAAGGGATCTTTTTGGATATTTATAGGTATTTCTAGATCTTGTCCCCAGGCAGGAGCAGGGATGGATGCTGCCACGTCTGGCGCACAGGTTTGGGGATGCACATCAGCACAAGCTGGAGCTGGCCAGGCTGAGGGAGCCAAACAGCTCCGGTGGGAGCTCCTGAGCTCGGGCAGGCAGGGCTCAGCTCATTCCCTGCAGGGCCAGGGCTGGGGGCACCGGGGGCTGCTCACCCACCCACCCACCCACCCCTGGCAGCAGAACTGTCCTTCCTCGGGATCGCTCCCAGCTCACTGCCTGCCCAGGGACAGCTCTGCCTCGGCACATCTCTCCTGATTGCGCCCAGCTGGAAAAGGAATTGAGTTAATATCGGCTCATGCTGCAGCACTGCTCTTGGGGAAACTCCCAAAGGCAGCTACAAATGAGTGAGAGGTATCCAGATGAGAGCTTGCACTTTTCTCTCTGTAGACACTACATGCAAGGTTCAGAAGAGCCTGAGGAGCTTGGACATTTAACTCCCTCCAAAATGAAAGGAGAGACATCCCTGCTGGCAGAGCCAGAGCTCCCAGAGCCTGAGCGACTGAGCACGCTGTGCATGTACCAAACCAGTGAGTAACAGTGAGATTTCAATGACCCTTGGATCATAAACCTCTCCTGGTAACCTCAGCGATGCACACACAGCCCATAACACCTCGGAGAACACTCCACAGAAATCAGCTCACAAATACAACAAAAACATTAACTGGAAAGAAACCTCAGCCTCTGAGCTCCAAGTCCCCCCTTCCCCATCTCCTGCTGCCCCTCCTGATCACAGGCAGGCACAGAGAGCTGTGCTGCTGCCAGGCCAGGGAATGCTTGTCTACCTCCGTTTGTGTCCCGAAACTCGTGAATTCCATCCACATCTTCCAAGGGCCAGTAATGGGAAGCTGATGCCAGGACTCTGAATCCTTTCAAGAAACACAGGTTAAAAGATTATTAAATAAAAGACCAACAATGGGTGTAACAAGTCTCCACAGAAAATAACCATAAAAGAGGTCAAAAGGTTAAGCAAGCCAAAATGCTTTATGTAAATCAAGTGTGGCACACAAGTGAAGTCAATAAATCTGAGTAGCAGAGCAGATTAAAGCCATATCGCTGATTAACCACTGCAGAAAACCTGCTTTTAAATCCAGCTGGTTTGCATTCTAACGGCACTAAAAGGTGTAACAATCTCTAACTCCCTGGGGTGTGTCTGGCAGCACCCACTGAGCAGCAGCTGGGGAGTCAGGCAGAGCAATTTCCAGATTTCACAGCGATTTGGAGCACTGCTGGCCAGCCCAGAGCCCTGGGTGGGAAGGTTCAGCCTGCCCAGCGCACATCACTGCTCCTGCCTCCCTCCTCCAGAGGGGCTGGGTGCTCCTGAGAGGGGCTCCCACCTCCCCACCCAGTGCCAGCCCTTCCTCCAGAGGGGCTGGGTGCTCCTGAGAGGGGCTCCCACCTGCCCACCCAGTGCCAGCCCTTCCTCCAGAGCCCTCTCAGCACCCCAACACCAGAACACCTCGGGGGCTGATGGAAACATTCTGTTTTCCTGCACCTTCTCCTTACCAGCAGGTGGACAGGCTGACCAAGGCCAGCACCTGCAGGTTTCCATTGGCATTTCTGTCTGTACAGTCTGACTGACCAGAGTTTGGACAAATTTTGGGACGTGGGTCACTTAATCAGAAGCAGGCTGCCCAAAACAACCACATTTTCTGTTAAGATAGCAATTCTATTTTAAGGGTAGAGCATTACCAGTGTAGAAAAACGTGACTTGTAATTTCTTACTATCTTGCTTGCTGCAAGAAACCCTTTATTTTCAAAACAATTTAATCAGATGTGATGAAACAAATTTAGCATGTCTCACAGCCAAGAGAGTTCAGGCAAGCTGGCACAGATATTCAGAAGTTTTTCCATGGATGGCCCATCATGGCATGTCATCCTTCCAGCCTGGGTTACCTTTCTCTGGGGGAGAGGTAGGGACAGCACAAAGAGTAACAGGGACCAAGAGCAAGGGCTTCTGTCACACCACATTTCTTGCTCTCTGCCCTACGATCAGTTTTCATCCCAAGCAATCTTTCAGGAGACCGAGGTGTGACTTTGACAGAGGAAAGTTTGTCAAACCCCAGTTCAGCTGTCAAACACTACAGAACCTCCCCACACCTCATGTGCAAATTAACCCGAGTCACCAGCAGCGTCCTTTGGCTTCTGTGGCTCATCCCACTCCTTTCTTCACTTTTGAGATCAATCCCTTTTGCCTGTTTGATGCTTGCTCAGTCATTTTCATGTCCTGGATACACACCAGAGCTTTCTATCATGGATACAAAGGTGCAAAAACTTTATTAAAGTGCCTAAAGCCCCCCTGGAGAGCACCTTGATGGCCTCCATCCTCCTGGTGCAGCTTCTGAGGTGGGACACAGATGGAATCCTAAGATTTATTTTTTTATCTTGAGATCAAAGTTGATAAAATGGCTAAACTTCGCAACAAGCAATTGCAGATGTGAGAAAACAGAACTCCAAGTTCTGCATCTTGTGGGGGTACAAGGACTACTCAGACTTGCTTCCAAAGTCAACTATACCAGAGATAGCTAACAAATGATTCACAACTGAATTCATTAATTCAGGATCTATTCTTAGCCCACCTAACTAAATGTTTGCCGTTGTCATAGAGGCTTTCCCTCAAGGAGGGAACAGAGCACAAACAGATAAAACGGGGATGTCTCGTGGGATGGGAGGGGGGTCCTGTGGCTCTCATCTCCTCCGGCCGCTCGGAAGGCAAAGGAGGGCAGAGCTGTCACTGAGAGGTCACTGCCAGCCTCGGAGGGCAGGACCCACAGCAGGCACACAACACATAACCCCAAACCTCCGGGCAGCCCAGCCTCAGCTGAGCCCTCTGGAAGCGAGTGCCTGCTGCCCCGAGTGCAGAATCCTCCCCACGGGCAGTGACCCCGCTGAGAAGGGCCCAGGGCTCGGCCAGCCTGCAGCAAGCCCAGCAGCATCCCTGCATCCAACCCCTGCATCCCTGCATCCCGCACCAAGCATCCCTGCATCCCTGCCTCACACCCCTGCACCCCGCACCAGCCGTGGGACTCGCCCACCTGGGGAGGATGGTTTCTCCTTTTCTCCCACCGGCCAGAAGCCACAGACCCTCGTTTTTAGGGAACAGGACTCTTTTTCTTGGTTTGAGCAGAGGTGGAGCAGCAGCATTAATCAGGCCGAAGCTGCTCCCTCGCCAGTCGTGGCCTCTCCCCATTGCTCTGCCTTTTACTTGGGGATAATTACATGTGGTTAAAGCTGAAAAAAGCAATCCACGGGCTGGGAGCAGTAAAACTGTACTTGTACACCACCATGAGGCTTGAGGTTAAACTATTTATATAAACAGAAGGATCCTGCAGTCACACACACAAACCCTTCCGAGCTCTGATTGAGTTTTTCACATTGGAAACAGATGAGAAATCCTTAATCCGCTCCGAAAGCGATGCAAACCCGAGAGTGAGGGCTGGGAGAGGGCTTGAAGCCCCGCCAGAGCACTGCGAAGTGCAGGCTGGTACATCCAAGTGCATCCAGGGGAAAAGGACAAGTCTGTGTGCAGCTTTGGTTCAGAGCCTTACTCGGGGTGTAACACAGGAGTTTCCCACACAGCAAACACAAGCCATTTTTCTCCAAATGTGCTTCTACCCAGAATATTCAGTGGGTGGGGTACTGGATTCACAGGGACTGATACTTTTGACTATTAAAGCTGACATTCAAAACAGGCTCTGTTTCTTCGGGGCTACTAAGAAAATTTTTTAAAACCCACAAACTGCAAAAAAAAAAAGCAAATAAATATTCGAGCACGTTGTCACAAAGTGGAAAGAGAGCATTCCTTACCTGGGTGTTTGGGGAGCTGGGAGTAGTTTCCGTACACCTGCACACAAAACATTACACAGTGAGACACGGTGGGGCAAAACTTGCTAAGAGGACTCCAAGCACATCTCAAAACTGACCGGATTCAGAGCATTACCTGATACTTTTGCTGAAATAAAATCAGCAAAGAATAATGGCAACAGAGTAGAGATAACAAACTCTCCATGGTCTATTTAAGGTTAAAAGTACAGCTGAACTCCAACTCCTGTAGGACTTCAGTCATAAGTTTTCCTTTGCGACTTTTGGGATTAAAAAGGACATTTTCCATGCAGGTTGGAAAGGTCCATTCCTTCAGTGATGGCAAAATATCCTTCCAGACCCTCCAAGTATTTTTTCCTTGCTGCACCCTTCGGTATCTTCATGTAACTCGGTATAAATTCCCGTGTCCGGAGGCGCCAGACAGAAAAGATCTCGTTCGCAGCTTGTGCCGCTGCCGCTGCCCCGCGGAGCTCCGGGGCTCAGCCCTGCGGGCGGGGAGGGGAGGGAGCGGCGCTGCCCGCCCGGGCCGGGGGCTGAGCCGGGCTGAGCCGGGCTGAGCCGGTCCTAAAGGGGCTGAGCCGGGCTGAACCGGGCTGAACCGGTCCTAAAGGGGCTGAGCCGGGCTGAACCGACCCCAAAGGGGCTGAACTGACCCCAAAGGGGCGGAACCGGTCCCAAAGGGGCTGAACTGATCCCAGAGGGGCTGAACCGACCCCAAAGGGGCTGAACCGACCCTAAAGGGGCTGAACTGACCCCAAAGGGGCGGAACCGGTCCCGAAGGGGCTGAACCGGTCCCAAAGGGGCTGAACTGATCCCAGAGGGGCTGAACCGACCCCAAAGGGGCTGAACCGGTCCCAAAGGGGCTGAACCGGGCTGAACTGATCCCCAAGGGGCTGAAGCGATCCCCAAGGGGCTGAAGCGATCCCCAAGGGGCTGAACCGGGCTGAAGCGATCCCACCGAGCCGGACCGAGCCGGACCGAGCCCGGCGGGCCGCAGAGAGCGGAGATCCCACCCGTCCCGCACATCCCAGCCCCGGCTGATGTCCCGCTCCCTCCTCCAGCCCCGTCCCACCCTGCTCCCTGCCCGTTCCCATTTTCTATTCATTCCTATTTATTCCCCGCTCCCTCCCGCCGCTGGAGCCGCCCCAGCTCCGCAGGGAGGGCAGCGCCCCAAATCCGCGCCTGGAGGGGCAGGGGAGGCATCCCGGAGGGGAGCGGGCACCTGCCTGTTGGAAGGGGCACCGGCTGCATTTCTGTCCAAGGAAGCTTTAAAACACTGATTTAAATCGCACGGCACGCCGAGGGACTGGTTTTACTCTGTCTGTTCCCAGCAGGGGAAACTGAGGCATCACTTAACTCACTCCCTCAGAGTTGCACAAAGCAAGGAAAAAACTTCTGTACTTGCTACTTTGCTCCTTATTTTAATAAAACTAATTGCATCTAAGGGTCTTATAAGAGTATCCCAAGTGCACTCTATATCACAAATATTAACCAGCATTTTACACGTAAAAGAAAAATAGCAGCTAGAACTAGCTGATATTCTTTATTTTATCTGCCCTTCTGGGATAAAGTCTTGTTTTCAGTTCTCTCAAAGTTCTTTATTTTCAGCCAAATGAACTGAAAGACTAATATTTTAAACAAAATTTGATAAGCTTTCCATCCCTGTTAATTTCTTCCCTGCATTTCCCTATCAACCCCTTCTTTATCCTCACACAAGCCACTTAAAGATGATGTAGGCAACATCAGAAACTACAAATCAGAACCATAACATGCGAATATCTCAACAAAATCCAGAGTATTTTACTTTTCTTTTGCCAGAAGTTATGTAAATGTATTGGATAATGTTTTCAGCCCCACTCATGCAGCAAAATAGTCTTTGTTTGAAATAGTTTTAAATTAGTGACTGCACAAGATTCTGACCTATTATAAAGTTATTTCCTGTGCCATTCCTATTCCATTTCCCTTTCTGGAGACACTCTGTGCCTGTACCTGTTCTATCTCCACACCTGTCCTGTTATTTCCCTTTCTGGAGACTCTCTGCACCTGTTCTGTACCTGAACCTTTCCAGTTCCCCTTTCTGGAGAAGTTCTGTACCTGTACCTGTTCTATCTCACACCTATTCTTTTCCCTTTCTGGAGACATTCCAGAAAGACACTCACACTGCTTGAACGCTCCTAAGTTACCCAAGTTCAGTGCCACAAAATTTCAGTATGGAAATGAAATGTGAGATGTGTTTGCAATCCTAATTTAGGGCCCATGAAAGAAGAATTTTGAAAATTTTGAAGTTCTGAGTTTCAGTTCCCACAGAAATGTAGTGATAACCAGCCTGGCTTTTGCCTATTTCCCTCCAGCTTTTTTGAGACTTCCTCTCTGGTTACTGTGAGCCACAATCTCCTCGATATCCTGAAAGAAGAGGAGGAATTCTGTGTAAACCCTATGAGTTCTGCATCATATAGTGGCAAGTAGAGCCATTCTTAGAAATAACAGAGAGCTGCAGCTAAAAATCCTGAGAAAAAACGAAAATGTAAAAAGAGAAAGACGGGAATTTGAAATATTTGCCAAGAGGGGCCTGTCAAGGGAAGGAATATGCTTACCAAAACAATTGTGAGAATCCAAGCAAACAAGTTCCCTGCCAGAAATTTCTGCAGAAACAGCAAACTGCAAGCAGACGTTGGAGATTATTTGCAGAAACAAATTCTGAATTTATTCCTGTGATGCTCTGGAAACATGAATTGAAAAAGCCACACTGCTCCCAGCAGAGCCCGGGGCAGCACTGTCTGAGCAAACTGGAGTCACTGGGCAGCACTGGGCAGCCAGGCCAGCCCCGGCAGGGAACAGAGCTCATTTCAGATCCCTCTGGGTCCCTGGGAACCCGGGTGGGTCCCTGCAGGTCCCTGCGGGTCCTTGCAAGTCCCTGGAGGTCCTTTCGGGTCCCTGCGGGTCCTTGCAGGTCCTTTCGGGTCCCTGCGGGTCCTTGCAGGTCCCTGGAGGCTCACAGGGCAGCGCTGGGTGCTGCAGCCCAAGCTGAGCCTGCAGGAGCTCAGCTCCAGCACCTCTGTCCATCCTCATCCTCTGCCCTTCCTCACCTCTGTCCATCCCCACCCCTGCCCAGGACTGAGGCAGAACCAGCACAGCTGCAGCTGAGACAGAGAGGGACCCCAGGGAAGGACACACAGCCCAGGGAAGGACACACAGCCCCAGGGAAGGACACACAGCCCCAGGGAAGGACACACAGCCCCAGGGAAGGACACACAGCCCCGGGGAAGGACACACAGCCCCAGGGAAGCCTTTGTGGCTGACTCCCCGAACCCAGCAGAGGAACAGTCACTGACAGAACGTCCGACCCTGCAGAACACAATTTGTAACAGGGTTTTTTCCCTTGCTCCCACTGGAACCACCAGTTTACCCCTGGGGAGCTGGTGCATCACTGGGACTGAAGGATTTCAGCATCTCAGGAAGGAGCATTTTAAGGATCAGTGGGTTGTTCCCCATCAGTCTGTGCTAACACACCGACAGGTACTCTGGATTAAAGGCTCTGGCTGGGCTGTTTCCCTGTCAGTAACGCCTTCTCAGGCAGCGATTGCAGCTGAGGGATCAGCACACATCCACTGACATTTCACTGCAAACCTCCCTGCTAATGGACACCAGCTAAGGGCTTGCAGAAGGGATTTTATTTAATTCACTTCCAGGAATCACCCCACAGCTGTGTAAACTCATTCATCCCTCCTGTGCTCCGGGGAAGTGCTCAGATGCACACAGGTGCAATTTGGTTAGATTTGCACTTTCAAAAATCATTTGCCAGCTGCCTCACCTTCCGAGAGACTGAAGAATGTTTCTTTCTCCTTTTCCTTGATGTATTGCAATCAAACCCCGGTAATGGGTGATACTAATTGGCCAGCCACGGGAGAGTCACTTGGGATGCAGCACTGGAGCCCCCTGGCTCCGGAGAGGAGCAGAAAACACAAACCTCACCTAGTCAGAAGATTTTTGCTTTAAAAAAAGCGCAAAAATTGATCCTTTAAAATACTATCACCCTGTTAATCTGCATTGATGTAGGGGATGGGGATGAGTCAGAAGAGGCCGGGTTGTGCTTTTCCTTAAGGTTTCCAACACACAAGTTCTGTTTTCCTGTGGGAAGTGCTTCTAATCCTGCAAAAAACTGTGAAAGTGCTGAAAAAACCTTAGGTTTTCAGAGGCAGCAGGAACTGAGGCTCTACAGTTCTCACCTGCACAACACGCTCCAGAACACCCTAAATACCCTCTGAGCACCCACAACACCCTCCAGAACACCCTAAATACCCTCTGAGCACCCACAACACCCTCCAGAACACCCTAAATACCCTCTGAGCACCCACAACACCCTCCAAAATCCCCTAAACACCCTCCAAAATCCCCTAACAGAGGGCATCGAAGGGCGGCCACTGCACAGCTCCACTGCCCAGGACAGATCAAGTCATTAACGATGTTTTGATCGAGTCATTAACGATGTTTTGGTCAGGCTGTAATTAAGAATGTTTTGGGCAGACTCCTCAGCCCGTGGTGGAGCAGCTCATGAGAGCACCACTGAAATCTCTGAGCGCTGGAAGGACGAACTGAGCAGCTCCGAGTGGAGAAGAGAAAACAAACACAAACCCTGGAGTTAACTCAGCAGGGCCAACGCTAGCATGGAAAAATATTTTTCTAATTAAGATTATGAGAAGTTGCTGGTCGACGCCAGAAAACAAAAATACAGCGTTTTGGCAATGAAATTTAGGCCTAATCAAGTGAAAATGCTTCTATTGTGCAACATATCTAATATTAAGCTGATTATATATATATATATATAAATTCTTTATGAAAACATTAAGACACTGATGATTCAAAGACCAATTAAGCAGGAATATAAAACCATACAATAAATTATACGTTTAAAGTTTCCCTAAATGAGGTCCCAGTTCCTAACAGAGTTATTGGATTAGCCCTTTTATTGTCTGTTTTCTGTTCATTGGACTTTTTTTGCATCTTGATAATGCCTTGAATATCTGACTCTGCGTGCTGAAGAAAACATTAGATTTTTGCTAAGTAGTTTAGGATTTTGTGCCAATCTCAAAGATTTAATTTAATCAAACATTTGATTATCTGAGCCTTAATGTCAAGCTTAAGTAAAATTGGATAATTGTATAAAGAAAATGTTTTAAAAATCCTTTTTTTATGTGATTAAGCCAAATCCTTTTTGCCAGAAGCCCCTGCCTGTAACTGGGTATGTTCTGGGGCCACTCAGGAACTCCGATCTTCTTAATTACAAAAATACCAAAATAACATTTATAATATTATATGATAATGATGAGTAATCCCTAAACCACGACAAATGTTGCCTCCAGGGTTCGTGGCAGCTCCTCTCTTGCAGTTTCACAGCTTTGCCTCCTGCTTCTGGGGCTGCAAGCAGCTCCAGGGTGGTCTCAGTGCCCTGTGCAGGGCTCAGGCACTGCAGGAGAAGGCAGCAGGCTGGAATTAACTCCCAGCAGGGACAGCTGAGATTGTCACAGAACCAACTCCTCATCCCTGGGAGCCACCTCTGCCTTGGAACCTCCTGCTGCAGGCTGGAATGAATTCCCAGCAGGGACAGCTGAGATTGTCAAAGACACAGAACCAACTCCTCATCCCTGGGACCCACCTCTGCCTTGGAGCCTCCTGCTGCAGACCTGGGATGAACTCCCAGCAGGGACAGAGATTGTCACAGAACCAACTCCTGGGAGCCACCTCTGCCTTGGAGCCTCCTGCTGCAGACCTGGGGGCAAAGGCAGCCAGAGGTGGGGACAGGAGTGGAGCTGCTGGGGAGCTGCAGAGGCTCCAGATCCTCACTCCTGCTGAAATCTGAGCAGTCATCAATCCGAAATGCAGCTCATTAACTCACTGAACTCTTTAACTCAATTAAAGGCATGGAAAGGAACTCCAGAGCGAGTCACACAGTTCCAGGTGCTGAGTCCTGGCTCTGGGCCACCCCTAAACCAAAGGCAGCCCAGACTCTCCCCATGGGCTCTCAGCCCCCAGCTCCTGCTGCCTTCACCCTCACTCTGCTGCAGTCACAATCTGAATAATCACTCACATCTGTCGGCTGGAACAGCCAGCCCAACGATCCTAAAATCACAAGGCACACCCTGGAATCATGGAACTGCCTAAAATCATATTTTCAAAACAATAAATGAAAGGGAAAAAAAAACCCCAACATTTGTATCTGCCATTGTTCTTCATGCACACTGCAGGAAAGTAAAATGGAATAAAATCAACCATTCAAAATGTGATTTTGACTATGAAAATGGATCTGATATGGAGATCAAAGAAATCCTCCTTTCTTTTTCTGGAGGATTTGTCAATCTCTCAGTGATTTTCATAGGCTCCTTAGAGAAATGTCGTTTTCAGATGTCATTGCAGCTAGAGACAACTGATGCAACCTGATTCATATCTCTTTTAATTAGTTAGAAATTCTGATTTTTCAAGAGATTAAGTGTTTCCCTTCTGGGCTCTAAGACTTTTTCAGCACTTTAGATCAGCTGGGATGAGGAGCAGGAGATGGAAACACCAAGGAACACCCAGCACATCAATCTGTAGAGTTAAATATGAGAAACCGTTCTGTAGGCAGGCCAGTTCCTGTGGAAATCACAAAACTCAGCATGTCAGATTTGCAAGCCAGGGATATATGCCATGTATTTAGGATTTTTTGCTCAGAGAGAATAAAATTACCAATCCTCTGCTAGTAGTGAGCCACTAGGAGCCACTATCCCCTCCACAGATGACAATTAAAATACAAATAAGGCTGGAAAGCGTGATGAACTAAAGCAGATGGCTTTGCTCTCCCCACAATTAATATCTGCTGTGTTTTGCAGTATCAGGATCAAGAAATCCACTGCAGTGCTCAGTCTGGGTGTGTTTCACACTTCTGGCAGATTTCACCTGAAGAAATGTAAAAATCAATGTAGAAATGTAAAAATCAATGCAAAAACCAATGTAGCAATGTAAAAGTCAAGGTAGAAATGTAAAAACCAAGGTAGAAATGTAAAAATAAGGCAGAAATGTAAAAATCGAGATAGAAATGTAAAGTTCGAGGTATAAATGTAAAAACCAAGGTAGAAATGTAAAAATCGAGGTAGAAAAATGAAAACCGAGGCAGAAAAGTGAAAACCGAGGTAGAAAAATGAAAACCGAGGCAGGAATGTGAGAACCGCGGCAGAAATTTCATTTCCAAAGGGAGCGAGACCCGCTGGGCGGGCGGCGGCCGCCACCGCGTGGCCAAAACGGGAACTGCAGCGGCGTCCGGCTCGGAACCAAAAACGACCGGAACCGGCCCGAAACGACCCGGAACCGGCCCGGAACCGGCCCAGAACGGAACGGAACCGGCCCGAAACGGCGAGGAACCCAAAACGACCCGGAAACGGCCCAAAATGACACGGAACCGGCCCGAAACCGGCCCAGAACGGAACGGAACCGGCCCGAAACGACCCGGAACCGGCCCGAAACCGCCCCAAAACGGCTCGGAACCCAAAACGACCCGGAACCGGCCTGAAATGGCTCAGAACCGGCCCGGGACGGCCCGGAACCACCCCAAAATCGGCTCGGAATGTCCCGGAACCGGCCCCAAATCGGCCCGGAACCATCCCAAGACCGGCCCAGCCCAGCCCGGCCCGGCCCGGCCCGGCCCGGCCCGGCCCGGAACGGCCCCGTCTGCTCAGGGCTCCCTCCTGCTGCCCCCGGAGAAGGGAATTCTGCAGCACCACCCCATCCCCTGCCAGGGTCATTTCAAACTTCCATCAGTGCTCAGAGAGCCAAGAACTGCTCGCAGCTGGTTTGAGCTGGCAAAGCCTGCAGGTGACCTGCCCCAGACGGTTCTTCCACACGTGAACTTGGCAGAACTATCATTTGCTGTACTCTGAAGTAAGTTTTATACCTAGACCTCAACTTAAGTGTTCAAATAAAACAAGATATCCGGTACAAATAAATAAAAATACCCGATCCAGAATCAAGACAATGAATAATGCCAAAATTTGCAGATTCCTTGTTAATTATGAACCACCTTTTGATTCATAAATGCAACAAAACTCTTTGGGCTTGAGCTCTTTCCCTGAAACCTGCCCAGAGAACCCACTCCTAGACCCAGAAATCTTTTTTTTTTTTTTCCCTTTTTTTTTTTTTTTTTTTTTTTTTTTTTTTTTTTTTGATGTTTTAATCCATTTTAAAAGTCTGACAGGAAAGCTAACCTTTGTATTCTCAGTCTAAACAAAACACACAATGCTCCCCCTCCAGTACTATTTTTGAAAGCCACCAAGGTGGAAAAAAGACATCAGCAAGTTACCTTTGGTTTTGTGCAGTGGCAAGTTTACAGAGCAGGAGCAACAGGAATTACTATCACTGCTGGGAAATCAGACTGGAACACTCTCCACTGGCAAAAGTCCTTACTTGACTGAATAGGGTAAGGTTTTGTTTTCTGTAAACCCAGCTAACGAAAACTTCTTTAGTATGGTTGTAGATAAGGAACTTGAACTAAGCACTCTGCACGTGCATTTAAGGCTACCCTCATTATTTAAAATCAAGTTTTAACAGGGACTAAACAAATGCTGCCAGAGGGCTTTAACTCTGCTCCCAAAACACTGCAAATCGCTTTCCAGCAGGATGAGCACTCCTGTCTCTTTCAGACTTGGGAGATGCACTGAAGATCAGAGCAGAACTCCCAAGGTGGAGCAGAGTTCCAGCAGCTGCTCCCACTGCAGCTGCTCCGCAGGAGCCACCCAGGACAGGCCCTGCCAGGCAGGTGAGACACACCGAACCTGCACAAACCCCATTCCATGCTGCTGCTGCCTGTTCTGCAGGGGTGCCAGCACTGCAGCCGTGTTCCACGCTGGCAGCTGAGCTGTGAACCCAACAAACCCCACTGCAGCACTGCAGCCGTGTTCCACGCTGGCAGCTGAGCTGTGGCAGGACACCACTGACACGCTGAACCTGCACAAAACCCACTCCGTGTTCCTGCTGTTCTGCAGGGGTGCCAGCACCACACGGTGCAGAACTGTTCCACGCTGGGCTGGAGCAGCTGTTTCCAGCAGGGAAAGTGTGAAGCCACAAAAGCACCATCCCACTCAGCAAAGCAGCAGCCAAGGCAACAGGATCAGCCGTGACCTGCACAGGAGTTAGCAACGCCACAGGCAACAGCCCACAGCAGAAGTTAGAGCAGGATTATGCAGCAAGAGTCAATGAAACATTAAGTTTGTCCCTCTACAAACACCAAGTGTACAATATCCCTCATTTTCATCCAAGAGTTTCAAGTTTTAAACGCTTTTGAGTAGCCAAAAACCCCAACCCCCTAATTTCCAAGCTGAACTAACAAATGACTCCTTTACAGCAATGTGGCACAATAATCATAGTCCAGTTTTTGCTACCAGGCAGCAAAAGTTGAATATTGACGTAATTAATGTACACAAACATGCAAGTTAAAAGGAATAAATGAAATGCTCCACTTTTATTAAGAAACCAAAAATACAAAACTGAAGAGTTCAAGACTTCATGTACTCAAACACTACTGAAAAAAAATTCCTAAACTTAAGTTTTGCTTACTAGCAGTACTAATATTGACCAAGATTCATCTCTACAAGGTAGTGTTAAAAGTTGACATTTTCCACCATTTGTGCTGTAATAAGCCAGTTTCAAATTAAGAACTTGGTGCAGTTACAGTAAAGTCTAGATGTTTCAGTCACTGTGGCTCCAGCTAACACAGCACTGGGAAGGCAAGAGCATTTTGGCTCAAACCACGGCTGTTTTCTGGTCAGTGAGTTTGAAGATGCTTAGAATTGGTTTAAGCAGCTAAAGCTCTACTGCTGTTCCATGCAAAGCCACAGCTGAAGTCAGCTCACAGGCCTGGATGCCATTTGCTTCTGGCTGCTAAAAGCAGAGCTGAGGCTGCACAGAACTGCAGCATGTGCAGGCAGAGCTGCAGGCTGTGCTCTGCACCCTGCAGCAGCAGCAGCATTCCCCTGCTGGGAACGCTCCTGCAGCCACAGCCGTGCCCACCACTGCAGCTCTGCTGGCACCGCTGCAGCTCTGCCAGCCAACAAAAGGACAGGGGAACTGTTAGCTCTGAGTTAGCAAGAGGAGCTTAAGATGAGAAGCAGGAAGGAAAACAGAATGAGAAATGCAGTAGTAGACAATCAAGTATTACCTCAAATGAAGAACAGAAGACACTTTGAACAGTTTTCCTAACAATGCATGAAAGTTCACTTGCTTGGAGATATTTGAAATACAACTTTATTACCTAAACAAAAGAATGGGAATGACAGAAACAAGATTTTCCACTTAACACTCTGATGTGACTGCAGCAATCTTATATTTGAAACTCAAAAGGGGAAGTAATTGCAGTCCAAAAAACAGCTAAATATGCAGGTCCAAAATATGAAGGTTTTTTTGTTTTGGTTTTTTTTTTTCATTTTGTTTTGTTTTTTTTTTTAAACTGCCACATTCACTCTCCGAAGCCCATTCATCTCTTTCAGCATCCCAAAGATTAAGCACATGTTCTGTTCAGCTAGATAATAAAGTGGCAAACACGCTGCATCACCGACATCACAGGACAGTTGCCTATAAAACTAGACTTCTGACGCTGGGCTCCAGCTTCATCCCTCACAGGTCATCATCTTCATCTGGCAGTGCGGTGGTCTGAGCAATCTGCAACAGAGCAAGTCAGCCTTTAGAGCTGTTCCTCAGCTGTTTGTGCCCCGAGTGAGCACCAGGCAGCTGTTTCCCCCTGCCACTGACCTGTAAGTCTTGCTCATACTGTGCTGCCAGTGCTGGGTCCATAACAACTTCAGGAGGTGCAAGCGCAGGCATGGCAACAAACTCCAAGTTGGGATCTCCAATTAGCTTCCTAGCAAGCCACAGGAAAGGCTTCTCAAAGTTGTAGTTACTCTTAGCTGAAATGTCATAATACTGAAAAAGGCACATATTAGACATTATTTTAAAAACCCTCGAATATTTAGAGAATATAAAGATGAACACAATCAACTCTTTTACTGTCCCTTTGACTGTATGGCCTTTGTTTCCATATTCATAAGCAGTTATGGTCTAAGTGTCTAGAAACAAAGAGTTTCAGGCAGAAACTATTAACTGAAAGGCTATCAAATCTCATCAAGGACAAAACTTCAGGAGGCAATAGTGCACGAATCCTTCTCCTGTGACGTGCTCTGCTCTAGCCCCAGTCCTGTCACAGGATGAGATTCTGAGCAGTCACAGCCAAATGCAAACAAGTTCTTTAGGAACTTAGCACAGCTTCTGCTCCAGGCCAGTGATGATCATCCTTAACATCATCTCCTGCCCTGAATTTTGGTTTGAAGAGCCAACAGAAGCGAGGCTGCCTGCAGTGACAGGCTGAGCACCCAAGTCACCATCCAAAGCCCAGCTGTGCTCAGAGGACAAAGCCAACTGGATTCCTCCCGACTTACCTGGAGATTCTTCTTCCTATGGAACACAATGGATTTTGCCTTGACTTTTCTGTCCTTAATATCCACTTTGTTGCCACACAAGACTATGGGGATATTTTCACATACTCGTACCAGATCTCTATGCCAATTAGGTACATTCTTGTAAGTAACTCTCGATGTTACATCAAACATGATGATGGCACACTGAGCTGCAAGAGAAGGAAAATCAGGTCACACCAGGCATAGCCACTGCTTACAGCACGGGATGGAGAAGAGGAACGCAGAGATCGCCACATCAGGGCGAAGCACCTGCATGAACTCTTCCCTCTCGGCATCCCCGTTGTGGCAGCTGCTGTTCTGTTAACAAGCTCAGTGCAGGAGCCCACAGAACCAGCCCATGGCCGAGTCTCCTCACTCCTGTGCTGCCCCATGGCAGAGCAGCTGCTTTTGCTAGCTCAGTTCTATCCCTGAGCAACGTGGCATTGCACCATGAGAATACAGACTGTGGAAGCCACGGTGGATGCACCCAAACGCTTGGCAGAATCAGTTCAATTCATCTCAGACATGCCAGTAAGGCTTAAAGGCAGGCTGAGGGCCTGTGGTCCACATCTCAGGATGCCCGTGTCCAGAGGGGCTTCTCAAGGACCTCAAGAATACTTTACAAAAGTAAGATACACTGAAGATGTGCAGGTGAGTGAAGTAGCAGGGGACAGATATTTGCCAAGCAGAATGAACACTGCACGTTTTCAGACAGACAGACTCTGGCACGAAGGTGTCCAACTGCCTCATCGTATTGAAAATCTCAAGTTTCTGTGTTCCAAGGCCTTGCCTGAGCACAGCAATCCAGAAATCTGTACTTACTGAAGCACACGTTGTCACCCCTTAACCACCGAGTGCTGCCAGTGCTATTGGTCATTCCAGCGATACCAAAGCCCACAGAACACGCTGAAACACAACCTTACCGTGTTCCCACGTGGTCTGGCAAGGGACATTATCCTCTCCACATAAGAGCTTGAGGCGTTCTACGCCAGCTCATCACTGCAGCCACACTGACAGCTTCCAGCGTGGCCGTCATAAGCAGAATGAAGGACTGAGCTGTGAGAGGTACAGAACTGTCCCCCCAGATCTTACCTTGGATATAGTAGCCATCACGCAGGCCACCAAACTTCTCCTGGCCAGCTGTGTCCCATACATTAAATTTAATAGGGCCTCTGTTAGTATGGAACACCAGAGGATGAACTTCAACACCCAGTGTTGCTAGGGAAATAACAAAAAGCAGTGCATTTAGCAAGTCACAGATTGTATTTTCATTTGTAAGATACTGGAGCTCAAATGTTTCTTCAGACATACCTACATACTTCTTTTCAAATTCACCAGTCAAGTGACGCTTTACAAATGTTGTTTTACCAGTGCCACCATCACCAACCAGAACAAGCTGAGGACAGAAAAAGGAAGAGTCAGAGCAATACATTTTGAGACATTTATCAGTCATTCCAGCACAGACAGTATTCATTACTACAAAGAGCACAGCTCCTGCAAGGTGCTGTAAACAAAAGACAGAACAGAACTCCCCGTGAAGCAGCTCCCTGTGCTGGGAACCAATTTGCTAAGCCCACCCATCATGCTGTAACTGTGGTCAGTCTTATCCAGCCCTTGTAGGCAAGAGCTGCACTGCACTGTGAGTATGGTTCTATTAAGCTGCTACAAAAGACTAAATGAAGAATGTTTAGGGCTTTCAACCTGAGTGTGACCAGATTTTGAGAGGAAATTATCAAAATATCCACTGGAGAAAACCACTGCTACCTTTAAAATTAAAGAACCCACCAACATTTGCACCATGAGCTGGAACACACTAGTCAAGAATTGAAGGAAACTCAAGTAACAACCTTCAAGAAAGTCTTCAGGACTTCTGGCTGTTAAGATAACAAAAACACCACCAACCCACCAGAAAATTCTCTTTTTAAACACTTGAACAATTAGCACATAACAGAAAGCAGGCTACTCTAATTCACTTTGAGCAGCTTCAGTTCTTAAATTTAAAAATCATTCTGTAGATAAAGATTCATTGAAAGCTATCAGACTAAATTACAGATAAAATAATGACACAAAAAAAGAGTTTAGAAAAAGAGTTTAATACAGTCTTTTTGCGTCAATTGTACGCAACACTTCAGCAAGACCAGCAGCTCAAAACAAAACCCACCATCCACGTAGGCACTCGAGAGCCGCCCGTGCTACTTTCCTAGAGAAGGGAGGAGAAGGCCCCGAGGAAGGCTGGGCAGCGGGCTTACCTTAAACTGCACTTGCGGCTCTCCCTGGGCGGCCATGCTGCTCTGCGGGGGAAATGGCAGCGTGAGCGGGCGGCGGGCGGGAGCGGCCCCGCCGGAAGGCGCCGCCCGCGGCCCCGCCGCGCTCGGACCCGCGGGCCGCGTGTGGCGGCTCCGCCCGCGTGTGGCGGCCCCGCGCGCGGCAATGGCGGCGCCGCCTCCGCCCGCCGGGCCCGCAGGGCGGCCGGGCCCCGGCCCCGCTCCCGACCCGCGCAGAGCCCCCCGCGCCCCCGGAGCCGGCATCCCGCCCGCCCCGAGCCGGCCTCCCGCCCGCCCGGAGCCGGCATCCCGCCGCCAACGGGAGCCGCCGCCCGCCTGCGGCGCTGCCGCCCCGGCCGGGCCTGCCCGCCATCAGCCACCATGACTGAGCAGCGCCCCTGCCCCGGCCGGGCCGCGGGGCCCCGCCGGCGGCCCTCACACCGCTCCTTCCCCGCGCACGGCCGCGGCCCCGGCAGCGCCCCGCTCGCTGCGAAAAGCCGCCACGCGCCCGGGCTCCCGCGGCCGCAACGCTCCCTCAGGCACAGCCCGCCCAGCCCGGCCCGGCCCGGCCCGGCCCGGCCGCGAGCGAACCGACCGCCGCCCCCGCTTTGCAGAGCGGCCGGGCGTGCCCCGATGGCGGCGGGGAGCCGGGGCCGGGCCGGGGCCGGGCCCGTACCTCTGCCGTGCCTCTCCGCTGCTCGCTCCGTGCGGGCGCAGGGAAAATGGCGGAAGCGCCGTTCAAATACCCGGACGGCGGCGGCGCGCGGCGCGGGCGGGGCGGGGCCGTGCGGTACGTGTGCGCGGCGCGCGGGAGGCGGGGCAGGGCCGCGGGCGGGCGGGAGCGCGGCGGGCGCGGGGCCGGGCACCAGTACGGCACCGGGTACAGCGGGTACAGCGGGTATGGCACCGGGTACAGCGGGTACGGCACCGGGTACAGCGGGTGTGGCACCGGGTACAGTGGGCATCGGGCACGGCATCGGGCACCAGGTATAGCACCGGGCACAGCACCGGACACGGCACCGGACACAGCGGGCACAGTATCAGGCACGACCGTAGGCACAGCAGCGGGCACAGCACCGGACACAGCGGGCACAGCACCGGACATGGCACCGGGCACAGCAGGCACAGCACCGGGCACAGCACCGGGCACAGCGGGCACAGCACCGGACATGGCACCGGACACAGCGGGCACAACAGCGGGCATAGCACCAGGCACAGCCCCGTGAGGCAGGCCGGCCGGAACGCCCGCCCAGCAGGGCCTCCCAAACCGCCTGGCAGCGCCACAGCCTCGCCAGCACCTCGTGGAGCCCCGTCACCCCGTCGGGCACCCTGTCCCGTGCCAAGCAGCCAGCGAGGAAAAGCCTTCCCGAGTGCCCAGAGGGAAGGTGGCTCTGAGGAGGCCATTTCCCCCGGTGCAGCACGGGCCGCAGCTCACGGTGCCCGGTGCCAGGAGCTGAGGGAGCAGGAGGTGCTCGGAGCCTGCTCAGCCCCTCCGTGGAGTGTGTCCACTGTGCCGGGCACGTCCAGCACTGCCGCCGCTGGCCCTGGGACCACCAGGACCAGCACTGACCCAGCGCTCGGTGCCTCGCCCGGTGGCCACTGGCCACCGGACAGGCCGGGCAGCCTGGCCCTGGTGGCAGGAGCAGCCCCTGGGCGGTGCGGTCACTCCCGAGCTGCGGTCACTGCCCAGCTGTGGTCACTCTCTGCGGTCACTCCCTGTGGTCACTGCCCAGCTGTGGTCACTCCCTGTGGTCACTGCCCAGCCGTCCTGCTGCGGTGCCACAGCCGCTGTGCCCGCAGTGCCTCCCTGTACAGTCCCGTGGGAGGCTGGCAGCTGGTGATGCTCTCCGCAGCCAAAGTGGGAAAAAGGCACACAGGTAGTTAGAAAAGCTGCTCAGGTGTTCAGGTGCCTCCGGTGGGGTTTAATAAAGAGATGTTCACAGCAAAAGGGTTTTACCCAACAGCTCTTGGGTACGATGGGCTGTGCTCAGAGGGAATTTCCTCCAATGTGCCTCACGACCGCGATTTTCCATTCTTCACACAAACTGACCTGCACTCACTGCAGTGCAGTCCTGAAAGCAAAACTTGGTTTGTAAGCCTTGCATTTAGAGTAGTTCTCCAAGATCTCCAAAGTGTCCAAACATCAGTGAAAAAGTCATTTGAACACTGACTTTCGAAGAACGTACAAGTTTTGCACAGGTCTATAAATACCAAGTTCGTGGGTTCACTCTGATTTTTAAGACCTCTGGTATTTTTTTAATCCAGTATACTTCAATTACTTTTATCTTTGTTGCTGTCTCCATAATCTAGAATAAATAAATGATACGTTTAAGTATTTCATGGCAGCTGATATACACAAATGTAGTTTATTTCTTAACTTCCTCTGACATAGACACAAAAAATACACAAAGCTTTACAAGACTGGCTGGCATGTGCTGTAATTTTTGCTTATTTTATAGTGTAATGCCAATCCAAATGCTGCGTGAGATTTCCTTGGGCAAATCACCGAATTTGCCTTCCCTTTTTGAGACGAGTTGGGTTTGTGCGGGTTTTTTTGCATTTTTGCTGAACGCCTCTAGGTGTCAGGATTATTTTTTCAGAATATGCAATTCATCTTTTATTTTTCTCAGCACAATGCTATCCTGGTAAAAGCCTTGCCACGCGGGCTGTGCCACACCGGCCGTGTCTCACCGGCTGTGCCCGTTCCGCCGTGCCCGCTCCGACTGCCTGCCGTGCCCATTCCCCACTCTCCGTTCCTCGCTCCCCGTGCCCGCTCCCCGTTCCCCGTCCCGCTGGGCCCGTTCCCCGTGCCCGCTCCCCGCTCTGTGTTCCCCGTTCCCTGTGCCCGCTCCCCGCTTTCCGCTCTGGGTTCCCCGTTCCACTGGGCCCGTTCCCCGTGCCCGCTCCCTGCTCTGTGTTCCCCGTTCCTCGTGCCCGCTCCCCGCTCTGTGTTCCCCATTCCCGCTCCCCGCATTCCGCTCTGGGTTCCCCGTGCCCGCTCCCCGCTCTGTGTTCCCCGTTCCCCGTGCCCGCTCCCCATTCCCCGTGCCCGCTCCCCGCTTTCCGCTCTGGGTTCCCCGTTCCGCTGGGCCCGCTCTCCGCTCCCCGCTCTCCGTGCCCGCTCCCCGCTCTGTGTTCCCCGTTCCCCGTGCCCGCTCCCCGCTTTCCGCCCTGGGTTCCCCGTCCCGCCGTGCCCGTTCCTCCGTGCCCGCTCCCCGTTCCCCGTTCCCCGTGCCCGCTCCCCGCTTTCCGCCCTGGGTTCCCCGTTCCGCCGGGCCCGCTCTCCGCTCCCCGCTCTCCGTGCCCGCTCCCGCCCGCCGCGCTCTCACGTCACGCCGGCGCCGGGCGGGGCGCGGGCCGGGCCGAGCGTGCGCGGTCGGTCTGTCGGTCGGCGGGCGGCCCGGTCGGTCTGTCGGTCGGTCCGTCGGTCGGCGGGCGGCCCGCGGGAGCAGCGCGGAGCGCGGCGGGCAGCGGCGCCGCGGGGATGAAGGACCGGCTGGCCGACCTGGCGGAGGTGCGGGGCGTGCGGGAGCGGGCGGGGCGGGACGGGGCGGGACGGGCACGGCCGCTGCCGGGAGGGCCCCGCCGCCGCCGGGCTCCCGGGACCGCCGGGGCTCGGGGCGCGGTGCCGCCCTCCGCGGTGCCCCCGGCGCGCCGCGCTCCGCGGCGGCGCGGAACCGCGGGGAGCTGCCCGGCGCTGCCCGGTAACGCCGTGCCCGGAGCCCCCCCCGGTAACGCCGTGCCCGGCGCTGCCCGGTAACGCCGTGCCCGGAGCCCCCCCCGGTAACGCCGTGCCCGGCGCTGCCCGGTAACGCCGTGCCCGGAGCCCCCCCCGGTAACGCCGTGCCCGGCGCTGCCCGGTAACGCCGTGCCCGGCTCTGCCCGGTAACGCCGTGCCCGGCGCTGCCCGGAGCTGCCCGGTAACGCCGTGCCCGGAGCCCCCGGTAACGCCGAGCCGCGCCCCGGGCCGCAGCGGGCGGCTCTGTCCGCTCCCGGGCCGTGCCGCGGCAGGAAAGCGCCCTGCCAGCCGCTTTCTCCGCGTGTTTACAAAATGGTGCTGCCGCTGTTTATGGGCGCTTTTCCTTTCCCGCACTCCTGCCTTGGACATATCCTGAAAAAGAAGGGAGAGTCCGGGCACCATCAGTCTGTCTGCAACAGGATATGGCTTGGGTAAAAGAAAAGGATACTTGAGGTTTTTTGGTTTGGGTTTGTTTTTGGTTTTTTCCTGAAAAGAAATGGAAATGGAGAGCACACAGGAGTTCCTGTGATAGTTCCAGCACTCCATGTATGTGTAGAAGTTGGGCTGTGTTCGGCTGCATTCAGCTCTGGGGCTCTTTCGTCTTCTGGATCATAAAATACATTTTGGAAGTTCCGTCTGTAGTGATGGAATTACCGGTCTCTCTGTCTTCCTCTCTGAAAGAATGAATAGGCATTGGAGAAGTTTTAGGATTATTAAATTACAGTTTCTCTACCAGGAATGATGTTTTAGAGTCATGCCAACAAACCAGTGTCATTTCTTTCAGGTGCAGTTATTTCCTTTCCCTGTTTCTGAACATGTCCAGGCTGTGGGAACACGTGCCAGATTTCGGTGCTGGTGCACACTAACCAGACTGAGGAAGCAACCAGTGGTGATTCAATAGGCTTCAATAGGCTTTATAGTTCTATACCCGCAGACTTAATCCTGTTCTCTGTTTCTGTAAATGGAAGAAACCAACTCCACACCCTGCCACACCCCCCACTGACAGGGTTAAAAGTGTTTAATGCAGCTGAACAGAGGAATTTTTAAGCCAGCTTTAGTATTTGACATGTGAAAACATTACTGCAGTGGGCTGCTTTTTAAATATGTATCAGCCAGTATTGCTGAATGCTTCATCTGTTCATCAATATTGTTTTTATTGCCTGTAGAATTAATAAATAGCTTAGAGACTTAAAATTTTTCTGCTAATGAAGAAAATATTTAAACATGAAATGCAAGTAAAAGTTACTGAAGATCTAGTCTATGTTTCATCACAATTAGAAGTGTGTAGTTGAGCTGAAGTTTTGTGAAGTTGCATATCCAAGGGAGATGAATATTCCCATTTCCACAGACAGCTCATTGAAGTAGCAGCTTCCATCTTAGACCTTTATCTGAAATACCAAAAATATAATGATTTGTGAAAGGGTTTTCCTTTCCTAGAATAAATACTTTGAACAGAGATGCTTGACACGTGGATGAGAGGCTCTGAAAAGGAACAGTGAATCCAAAAAAATAATGTGTTAACGCTTGTTTGCCTATTTTCCGAAGTGTTTAGGTTTTTTCATGCAGTTGTGTTGTATTGCATTTGGCTAAATCATTAAGAGTAGAGCATAGACATTGCAGTTTTCAAGCAGGCCTAGGCCTGCAAAGTCTTCAGGAATAACCACACCGTGCCTCTTTCCCTTAGCGTTGGGGTTTCATTGTTTCCTCTGGTCACAGCTCGCCCCGGGTTCCCTCCAGAACCTCCCGGTACACCCGGAGTCCGAAGGAGCCCGGCCTGTGTTGGCTGAGCTCAACGCTGCCCTAGCAGGAATGCTCATTTCTCCTCATTCTTCCTGCTTTTCTCTGGGCAGCAAGCACAACTTTGTCGTTAGTTTTTCCTAGATCATCATAACGAGGAGGGAGAAATGCTGCCTAGCAGTGTTTGTGGTTCATTAACACGTTAACATAACTGTCAGATACTTTTGTTAATACTCTATGTTTAGGCTGTTAAACAGTTGCTGGAGAAAGA